TAGATAGATAGATAGATAGATAGATAGATAGGTAGATAGATAGATAGACATGGATTTGTGTAAAGTCCAAATTCACAGTAGCTAATTTTTAAATAATATTTAATAGTTATGAGCAAGTGCTTCAACGAAGCAAATGTTTACTCAGTTTTGATCAAATAAAAAGGAAGGCAGTCAGGGAAAGATGTTACAATTAACTCAGCAAAAGTTAAATAAGTCAGTAATAACCTTTGGACAAGAGAGATTCATTGTGCATGCTGTCATGATGATTGCCTATATCCCGCGAGTTTGAACTTCTGAAATATAATAGAGAGATGCAAACTGACAAATTAATAATTTTTTTCGAAAACGATGCTCATTTTGGTCAAATTCATTTATTTTCAATTGCTGTTTTCGAAAAACTAACAAATTTTGTCGAGTAATGACCAGTGTTACGGTCATTGTAGGTTGCTGTAATAGCGCTAAGCATTGCATTCGAGTACACTGATGAACATCCGTACCAGCTACGCTCCAAACTCTATCGCCAACTTGTAAACCACTTCGAGATGCAATTGAACACGGATCCACCTGCTCCACACGTACTGATAGCACCCTTAATACAGCTTCTTTAACAATATCAGATACAAATGACTAAAAATGCTTTAAAATCACTAAAGCATTTCTTAGTGAGTTTGGAATAATTTTTGTCTTTACAATAAAGCTTTTTATCTCAGACACCTGTTATCGTCATCATCACTTTCAATTGCGATTCCGAGACCAAGACGTTCTGATGGTGCCGAGCGTAACAGAACGATTTGCTTGCGCATTTGCTCGTGCTTCAGGCCGAGCCCACGCTTCTTTTTTACAAAGGCATACTGAAATGAACAAGACTTAAAAACAAAGATGTCACGCATCAAATCATTACCTGCCAATCTACTGAAAACTATTCAGAAAATATGTGGACAGAAAACGATATTATCATAGAAATGCTAGAAGATCATCAAAGAGAGTAGATAAATCTGTTCAAATTAGAGTAAATTATTAGACATTGCAACTGCAATGTTTTCTTCCCTACAATAAAAAATTCTAATGTTGTAAGGAATGTAGAAACATACTTGAGAATCATTTCAAGATGATCTCATTAATAATGTGAAATTTTAAATTAGAACTGATCCATTTTAATTTTATTCCATTTAAAATTGTGCTCAAAATTTTGGTCATTTAAAAGCAACAGCTTTGAATTACAATATCGTACAATATGACTTTCTTGAAATAGCAACTTAAATAAGGTATACTTCCAAGATTACTGAAAAACGCTAATTCATGCCTGAAATTATCGAGCTTAGGCAGGTGGAAAATAAATGATGATAAATAGGCTTACATTTTTTGAAAAACTACTTCCTGCATTTATTTATTTTTTGAAAATTAGGTATATTTTAGAAAAATTAACAACAAATCCAAGCAATTTCCATCCCGAAACAGCAACTTAGGAATGAAATAATCAGTTAATCGCCTAGTCAATCGCTACCACACAAACTGTTTCGCATCCAAATTAAATCCACTTACATAAACTACAAAAAGCAATGCGTAAGGATCAGAATAAGTGAAAGATCTAACAAAAAAATTACACCTTATGGAAAAAAGTTACACCACCTTGCAAAAATCATATTAAGCTCATACTGCGCAAAGCTATAACTCCTTGACAAAAATAAGCGCAAAAATATTAAATTTAGAGAAAAAATCCTCAGAAACAACAAGCAAATGGATTAAGTAGTTCATATAATATGCACTACTACGTGAATGATAAAGATGATTAAATTGCAGTTCGAAAAGCAAAATTTGCTTAACTTTAACGCATGACCAGACAGTTTGGATTTGCTCATTTCAACACGTCAAGACGTTTGCAAATACACGCAATGAGAAGAAAGCATCTTAAAAGGTTCAACTACTTGTTTCAAAATTTTGTATTCAAATTAAAATAAAACCGAAAATGAATTAATAGTACAGTGAGGAGAATGAGGCAGCAAAGGCGCCATTTCCCACCTCAAATTAGGTATTCCTACCACCTACCTCTTCTACCTACAACTAACTTTTGAAGGTCAAAACGAGCAAAATTGAGCAATATGTGATTGCATCCATCTTCTCAACTACTACCCTGCAGTTAGAATCAAAAAGTTAGAATTGTCGGGATCACAATCAAAATGATGGAATCTGAAACCAATATATAACTCTTCCCCATGCTATGATTTAAGCGCATTTTTTGATTAATTCCTCTAATAACCACTGCAAGAATAAATATTCATCAAAAATATGTATGCTTATTGTTGATAAGTGAATGCTTATGAAATATATGCATTTCTTGACATACTATTCACTTCTTGATTTTCAGACTCAGCGAACCGAATTATAAACCTCAAATGAGAAATGACAAGTGACGACGAATATACGCACCACTCTTGGAAATTTCAGCTTTTGAAGCGCTCACTTCAAAAGTATTTTAAAATTAATTAATGAGCTTCTGTAACGGTAGCTAATTATTGAGATTACTTGAGAAAGATTCTTAAGAAACGCGAGGCTTATGCTGACAATCATCGACAATTGTTTCGCATATAACTTGTGCAACAAAGTACTAATAACTGAGTTAGTAACTAATCACTGCTCTGATTTTCAGTTAAAATTGAAGTAAATTGCTTGCTTTTCAGTGTCTTCTTGCATTTGACTATAAACTATGCTATATTAACCGAACGCAAACGGTTTACGTGAGAGTAAGATTAGTGATTCTAGAATAGTAATTAGTGCTAGTCTTGCATATTCATTCCGACTTGCTAGACAAATACATATATATATATATATATAGCAAAAAAGATTAACGATAAATAAACAACTAATAACTGAAAAATACTTACAAGTACTGTGATGATGTTGTAGTCACTTGTGTATTTAAGTCTGTACTTCTTCTTCAGCAAATATTTAAAATGAGTTTAATTTTATATTTTTTCACTTTTATTTAGCAGCAAAATTCAAAATCACTTCTAGTCCTACAATAGCTTCGACAACTCTCTCTCCACTACTATCGAGTACTGCAGTCATTTACAGTTGAAATGATAGTAAGAGATGGATTTAACTTTCATCAAATCGAAAAAATAAAGGGAAAATATGTGACAAGTATGGAATATATAAATAAGTAAAAAAACTGATAAAAAACGAAATGGATTAGTAATAGAAGATAAGCCAGATTGCAAAATTTGTCACAACTTATGCATTCTATTATTATTATTTTATTATTATTATTAAAGTATTAGTATTGTTATTATTATGATTATACTAATTATGATGAAAAATATTAGTAACAAATCAATAACTAAAGTTAATTATCACGAGATCAAAACTTGATCAGATGAATCAAAATAATTTGTTGGTTACTCATAGTGATTATTTATTATCTTTTCTTAACCATTTGGTACGTACTGACATTTTTTGCTATTTTTTAAAAACCGTAAAAAATTTAAAGAGATGAAAAGCAGCACAAACGAGCAAGCAAAACAAAGCACTAAGATAATATTCAAATGAGGCAAGAACCGACCAAATTGATCCATCCATCATTATTCATCTATTCACTGATCTATCTATCTATCTATCCATCTATCTATCTATCTATCTATCTATCTATCTATCTATCTATCTATCTATCCATCTACTTATGTCTCTATCTACGTATTTGTATCTGCTAGTGACTGGAAGCATCGCACTTCGTGACACTAAAATGCAAATAGATGTTTTTTCTCAGACAAAAAACGAAACGAATCTTTCGGTGATGAACGAAAACCAGCTGCGGTACTTTTTCGTTACAGCTAATTTTCCACATATAGAACATTTACTAATAAGCTTATAGCTTCGCTTTTGATTTATATAATATTTAGCAAACTTTACTTTGACGGAAAGTGTGGAAAACGTTGGCAAAGTATGTGAATGAAATCTGAAAAATGGGAGCAAAGTTCAAACTTGCCGTGCACAATTTATGTCTACTAATGATATAATTTTTCATTTAAAGAAATTAATTACAGCCCATCAATCGATGTCTAATCGTATTTATTCATTCATTTTATTTTTTTATTAAAATATTCTTTTATTATTAATATTTTTATTATATATACATAATGTCAGGGAAATGATGAGCGTGTTAAGAATAAGTGAACTTGACTTACAGGTGTTCCTGCATTGACGTGCATTTTGTGCTGCAGATTTGGAACTGGATTGAAGCACTTTGGACAAGCAGATGATGTTGCTGTCGCTGCTGAAGATGAATTTGCCAGAGATTTGTTTACTTTTCCATATTTCTCGCAGGATATCCTGAAGACTGCTCCAGTTCTGCTTTTCACTCACAACTGAATATTTCTGCTCTAGCTACTTTGATGCTTCACAACACAAAACAATTCTTCAGAATTGCTAATGACGAATTATGATGTAATAAGTTTGCAATTTACTATTAATTTATGAGTAAGAATGTGCAAAATGGCTGTTTGCATGAAATAAGAATTAATTAATTAATTAACTAATTAATTAATTAAAAAAAGAAAAACTAAACATAAAACAAAACTGTCTCAAAAGACGACCATCTGTGTTACTATTATCAATATAAATGGAAAGAGTCATAAAGCTGTTATGTCATAGGTCAAATCATAAACGCATGCATACTTGTCTTGTACATATTTTCGTTGTAAAATATCTTAAGCTTTTATATAGTTGAGAATTATTGATTTGGTTTGAAAAAAATAATCACATCCACCATAATGTATTAAATGTTCTATATAATCTTTTTAAATTCATCAGATTTGAAGAAAACAGCTGCAAATGGATGGAAAAACCATTTAGATGATTCAAATTTTTGAAAAAGAAATATATTTAACAATTTGAAGTGTTTAATAAGATAAAAGATTAAGTCACATTTCACGTTCAGAATTTGAATGCGTTCACTGAGACTTAAAAGCAGACCGAATGCAAGATTGACTTTTAACTGCTAGTTGTATTATCATTATTTTTTTTTAAATATATGAATGAGATAAACTAACGGTACATTAATTTTTCGTTCTCAAATGTTTTCTTGGCATATTCGAAAATTTTGCGTTGTCTGGGTGAGTTCGAAATATTTCTACGAATACACAATGTTACGTTTATTTGCGAACTTTTTTTAAATATTCGTAATGCTTCTGCGTGCGTTTTTCCCTTTAGCTCCACACCATTTACGCTTAAAATTTCATCGCCTACAAGTAAGTTACGTGTTTTTATTTTTAAATTACTTCTTAGTACAAATCTGCTATCTCATTATAATTGCACCAAATATTTTGACAAAAAGTAGGTAACAAATTTAAAGAAAAACTCGTTATCAATTCATTTTTTTTGCAGAAAAAAGGAATACTTATTTTTACGATAACCTTTACAAATAAGGCCAGTCTTTGCAGCTAGTCCATTGGCAAATACAGTTTTTACGTATATTCCCATAGGACCACGTGGAGAATCTATGCCACCGACAATACTGAAACCCAGCGGGTGTCGAGAAGGTTGTGGCTTTTCGGAGTAACTCTCGTTTCTTAAAGAATCCGACGCAACACCACGATATAATACAATAGTTCGTATACGACTGTTCATCTTCTTTCTAAAATTTCTCTCAGGTTAGTCACAATTTGCAAATTGTCAAGTACTGAATTTTTAACAGATAAATGTAAGATGAATAAATTATAACCACATATCTCATTGTAACTTTTATAAATAGCAATAATTTGTCAGATAACAAAATTCAAACTTAAATGTATTTTATAAAAACTCTCACAAAGAAAAACTTTTGAATGTGAGCAAAATTCAAATCTCTCTCAAAAATATCATTAAATAAGCGAAAAAATTTTTGATCAAAAATAAAAAAGCTAAATTGATTTTTATTGATTTTGATGATTACTTGCAAAAATGTTCCATAAAAATGAATTCTTGTGTTGAAGATTGATGATACTCTGTGTTAAACATTAAATTTCCTGCAAGCTATCGGGCGAATGGAAAATTTTTCGGAAGAAGCGTTGAAATATGTATTAGTAGAATTGTTTTACTCGCAGTTGAAAAAGGTCAACAAAATTGCGAAAAATAATTCACGCATCATTAAAAGGCTTAAAATTGCCGAAAAAGTATTAACGAAACGAACAATTATTCGCAGTGTTTTTGTGCAAACAATCTTTTGATGAAAAAGAATTGTAAAACAAACATTAAAAATAAAAATCACTGAAGAAAAATACTTCAGTATTTTGTAAATATTTATTTTAAAAAACTGTTTACGTAGGACAACTAATTCATTTACGTTATTTGAATAATTAAAAGCATAGATTATTAATTATGTCTTAATTAGTGTCTGAAGGAGCTGACAATATCTGTCAGATATGATAATTATTCATTTTTGGTTCAAGAAAGAATAAATATTTTTGAAGGCTATGGCAGAATGGAATTCAAAAACAAATAATACTTAGCTAACAACAGATTGATAGTAAAATCAAAAAAAGTCAAGTAGAACAGTGAGAATACAAAAGATTTACTATCAGAGACTAATCTGATTCCATTCATATACCATCCACGTATAAGTCTCATGGCGGTAGATATGAAAAGGTTACAGAAATTTTCTTGGACAACAGCATCTAACTAATTATTATCAATGGGTTAGGAATTTATGAGGTCATCGGACAAAAGAGTCGAGAATGAAATACTGAACACAACGGATGACACTTCTGACGTGACAGACCATCCTCGACATGCCACCTAACACATAGGTAAGTATGCAAATTAATGCAATCGCCACTGCCTCATCTGTTCTCTCCTATTAAACTGAATAATATGAAATTCCTTGAGAATGTATGCATCCTTTACATGCACACACATACACACAATTCTGATGCAAATTATTATTTTAGATGGCAAAAGATACAAAAAGAGAAAATTTCATAGAAAACAACTCATTTCATGCTAATTTTGCAGTGAGTATTCAGTAACTCTTCCTATGTTTGCAAAGAATATCTCAAACTGTAAATGCTTACAGTTTCTGAGCGTAATAGGTAGTTGCAAGGCGTCACAATTAAGCAATCTTTTGTACTGCCACTCCGTCAAAATGCCACTTAAATATAAACGCCCGCAATAATTTATTTACTTTGTAGATCTCTTTGACAGTTTAGTGCATTTTTTCAATATTTATATAAAAATCACATTAGCGATTGACTGACTGATTACAGAAAATTGTGCCTGATTCTTTATCAGGAGTAATTCAGTGATGACGATGATTACTATTATTACTATTATTGTTATTAGTATTACTATCACTATTGTTATTAGTGGTAGTAATACCATTATTTTGAGTATTATTATTATTATTATCATTGTTACTAGCATAATTATCGCATTATTATTAGTATAATTATCGTTGTAAGACAAGTAAAAGGAATGACTTGATTTGAAAACCTAACCTTTTTCAGTACTCTACCAACTAAACCAACTAATCAACTACAAGTATATGCATTTATGTACTCAGAGCTTCGTCTAAAACATTTTTCACTTAATGCTATAATTACTGTTAATTATATGAGAAAGTTGTTACCTTTTTTCACGTATTGCCATCTCCACATTCTCAACAGCCTTCTACAGCTGTGAAGAATTTCGATAATGGGAGTGAGCTGAACGATTACCAATTACCATCCTTCACCAGTGCAAAGCAGTGTACAGAAACTCATAGATTGATTCTTACAACGATGACAGTATCAGTAATAAAAGTTGTATTAACAATTAAAAGCAACAAATAAAATGTAAGTGAAATGAGTACTGTCTGAGATTGAGGGCATTTATTTGTATTGTGTGTGGAGGAGACTTGCTTGCCTGCCATTATCACGTTTTTGAATAAGAGTATAACTCTGACTGGCACACATCTTCATCTGGCCTTAATCATGAAAATATAAACATAATTGTGCGCATACCTTTACAGTGCATTGTTCAGCTCAGTTTCATCTATTTACAGCAGGCAACAACGATATTAACATGCGCAGGTGTATACATCACGTAATAATAATGAGAATATGCGAGGTACCTAATAAATAGTGAGGAGAAACTTTGCAAACTAGTCCTAAGCCATGTGTTATATCTAACAACCAATCAGTCTGTTCCATTTATTTGCTGTATGAACAATGTTTGTATTTTCGACTGATGGCGCTCTTATCGCTATTCATAATCGCTTTCTCTGCTATGACCTCTTGAACTGATATCACATCAACTGACCATAAATATTTATTGGCGAAATGTTTTGCTCTCGTTCTCTTGCAGTTCAAGCACAGCCTCAGTTCCACAGTGCTTATTTATTTTTCATTTCAGCTAAACTGTGTTTTTTGGTTGCCTACGGTTGAATGACCATAGAAGCGTAATTAGTGTATTTTGTTTTTGCGACAGTTTACTGCTAAGGGATTTTAATTGCAAGAATTAGCATTCTTACTTTATTTTTATGACTTATAGCAAGCAATAAGGCGAATACATGTCAGTGTGAGCTGAAAATTAGTATCATTACCATTTATAGATATGACATAATTATTGCTATCATAATTGTTACATGATATAAGTGTTATTGTAGTGATATAGTATTGCACGACGATGTTTGGTCATTTGTTGCAGATGAATGATTTGCATTAGGAAATGTTTCGTATGTATTGCTTCACATGTATGCACTATTCCATTCAAGAAATAAGAGTGGTCACAATTGGTCAAAAATAAAATGTCACGCAAGTATTCCTATCTCTGACTAATTGCATTAAGATAAAGGAAAAAATTGTACGCTCATTTTGTGTAATGACTTGCAGTTAAATTGCGTTACTACAAGAAAGACAAAAATTCAGACATAAAAATAAAATACAGAAAAGCGAAATACTTCCCTTTAGAAGAGAGTTATCTTCAAAATTTCTCTACACACCTGAACTCATCACTTATTTCTAAATTTGGAAGTACTATTTCTTTATGAATTAAGTAGTTCATAGAGCGGGCAGTAGGTAGTAGTAGTAGTAGTAAGACGAGAGTTAATTAATTATCTTCCATGCAATTTTACATCTTTTTAAACTCTCGGTATTTCTTTTGTTGTATTATATCAGCCATTATGCATTTTTAAATGCCTGAATTTTTCTCAAGAGGTTAAGACGAATCTGATATTGATATCGCAGCTAGGAAACAAAAGAATCGCCTCTAATGACCACATTGACCAATGACCATAGGTTGTGCTTGCATTGCACATGGCGAAGTTGTGATTACTTTTAAAAGCACGTAAATTGCGACTATACTAAAATTAACTGACTGCAGTACATATTGATCGATTAAATAACTTGATATTTGTCTAGATTGTCATTAATAATTTAAATAACAGTTTAAATAATAAAGAATTATTGAAGATTGCGCTGAAATGTCGAAATAAATTGTAATTGTTATTGGTTAGAAATTTTTTTATTCAACTGAAATGGCAACAAATAAAGACAGATGAAAATGTATTGTAATTTTAAAAAAAGTAAAGTAATGTAATGAGAAGTAGCGCAATTAACCGAAACAACTTCATTAACTCCTTCAATGTGTATTGTCAAACATTTCCGTCTCATAAAGTCACCACGTCATAAAAAGAGGGAAAAAATGCTTCTAAACGTGAATTAGAATCAGTGATCGGGGATTAAACGATTCAAATCTAGCTAAATTTTAACGTCATATACAAACTTTATTTGTCAAATGATGCTCATGTTCAATTTTCATTCGCTATCACTGTTCGCCATGCCATTTACGCATTTAACACTTAATTTCATGCATCATAATTAGCTTATGTAATGCATTTATTGCATGATAAGTTTTATACAATTATACATTCACATTAATGCGTATGTTATGCGACAGTTCACACCTGCAACGCATACAAAATTTGCTCACTTTGCGATTAATTTAATAATATCCTTTACGCCATTTTAAATTAATTTGATCAAATAACCCAAAAATGCTTTCAAATTCGACAAGCATTTAGTTATATGTGCGAACAATTTTACGTGTTAATATATAAATTAAACAGAATCGATAAACTCTACTACCATTTAATCTTGACTTTAGCCCTCTTCCTTTACTTATAAATTGAGTAGTAATCGGTTATTTTCATACAGTTATACGTTACCTCAAACTACAGTTCGAGATAAGATGAGGTGATATAGAGATAAGTAGCTTATACTTTACTCCCAGCAATATCACGACAATACCTGAACCAGGAAACAGCAGGACGATTACGCTCAACGTACTCATTCAAGAAAGCAAGGTTGCACAGAGCAGCTGGCCAGGGAATTCTGAAGGTAGTTTCGGGAAGATGCCGAGAGAGATCGGCCCTTTGTCGTTCCTTGTATGGCAAGAAGTTTGTGTGTGCGACTATCCTTCAATAATTGAAGAAGCAAGCGAACGCTGCGATCACTAGCATTGTAGGTCGTCCATGCTCGCAGAAGCGGTTCTTAGAGAAGACAACGAAGCAAGTAAAGATACTTAATACCTACTTCGAGAAAATACACTACATGAGTCTAAGGTTTACCTAGACGTAAAGCAAAGCACCTTGTACTGATGCAAGAAGCCAAGAACAGGAGATAAACCAGTCACAGTGGATGCAGAAAATAAGCTCGGAGAATGTTGGCCCACTCATACTTGGATTTTAGAAATTGCATTTTGACATTATGAAGTTTTTGGGCCGCAAATTATCACTACATTTGGGTTACGTCCAAACTACACATAAAACTGAAGTTTTTGTAAGTTATGGTGATGTAGTATTCTGTAGCATGAGGTTTTATCTACGGTGCGTTAGGCTAATACAGTATTTTGAAATTAGTTTGGAAAATAATATCTGGTTCTTATTTAAGGTGCTAATGTGTGCTTGATAAAGTAACACTACATTTTTTATTCGTATACGGTGTGCTTTATTTGTTTTTAATGAATTATTTTTAGGTGTCTAGAAATGGCTCCTTCAAAGAAAGGTCCAAAACAAGAAAGAAAGCCAAGGAGTGCTATGAGTGAGGTAGTCACACGTGAATATACTGTCAACTTGCACCGGAGGTTGCATGGCGTGTGAGTTTATTTCATTATTTTAATATTGCATTGGTTTCGCAAATGTAAAAATTTCTTATTTGTCGCTAAATAATTTGCAGGCATAGCTTTGACATTTCGTGGTCTTGACAGTCACTATTTTAGGTGACGAAAAGTTTGTATCATTCATTAAAAGTCGTATTCGAACTTGCATTCAGAGTAAGGAATTTTTCTGTGCTTTAACTATAATCGATACAAACTTCGTAATTTAATAGTTTTGTGTTACAGTGGTTTCAAAAAACGTGCACCTAAAGCAATCAAAGCCATACGCAAATTCGCAGAAGAGCAAATGGGTACTAAGGATGTTCGTGTTCATATAAGATTGAATGAATTTTTATGGTCGAAAGGAGTAAAGTATGCTTCAAAAATTTTCTTACCAAAATTTCATACAAATGCAATAGTGAAGTTGTTTTTATATCTAGTGAAGATTTTTATTGTCAACCTCAATCTTATAGCTTATTTTATTAGTAGAGTATATAGTTTATCATGTCAACGTATTAACTTTTGATATTTATGGTGCTGTTTCTAAAGAAATGCTAGTGTATATACTAGCATTTCTCAGAGCTGTCCATTAATTAGTCTAAGCATTCCTTGTAAACTAATAAGTCATACTAAACAATTTTAACTGATAAGGTTAAGGAATCAAAATTTTTGTAATTTAGCACGCAGTATTTTAAGTAGTATGGGTTTCAGTTTTAAGCTGCAAATTCTGTTGCGACAAAATTTATAGAAATGTTCCCTTTCGTGTACGTGTGCGTCTCTCGCGGAGAAGGAATAATGATGAAAATTCAACCGATCGATTGTATACTTTGGTAACGCACGTTCCTGTTACGACGTTTAAAAAGTTGACGACAGTAAATGTCGATAATGAAGAATAATCTTGCGATATTTAACGTCTTTATTGTTGAATTCATTGTATTATTTCGCAAGAAAAATGATTTATTTTGTTGTTAAGCTAACATTTCACATAATGGAAGTGGTCATTAGCGTATAACGCTACTTGTTTTATTAGTTTTGCGTCATATTTTTTCGAAAGGCTGATGAAAGATTTTGTTGAGGTGGACATTTTCGTCAATCTTTTGAATGACAAAATTGGTCTAGACACGGAAGTTGAAGTGTCTGGGTTTTATTTTGGGTGGTAACTAGTTTTCTGAACTGCACCACTGTATTTAGTGTTGGTAAAGATCGCGTACATTGCGTTACGGCTCTGACAGTTTCGTCTGTCACGTCTTGTACGGGATGGGAACATCTTTCATTGGTTAGATAGAAAAGCAATACTTTTTGAGATTCAATTATATTTGTCGTAAATATCTGTTGAAAGTTTTAAAGAAGTAAAGATGTTGCGTGGCACCATGAACAGTCTTTGGAAAATTAGTTAGTGAACATGGAAGTAGGGATTGGTTTGAGCACGAAAGAATCGATGGCGAGGCTATGTGACATCATAAAATGTGAACTGGAAAGGGAAGAGAAAAGACTGAATGCTGGGTCGTCTGGATTCAGGTATCATTTTGCCAAACAAGGAATCAAGATCTTTCATGATACTAAGAGATTGTATATGGACTATCTAATTTAAATGCATATTATTTGCAGTATGAGTGTAGTATTTTTCATTTCACGATTGTTGTAGTGATTACATCTTTCGAGATAATTATTGAACTTTCAGATTTTTATCTCATAACGCGGTGACTGGGAACTTTTGTTTTGTTTATGCGATAACGTCAGTCGTTTGTTGTTTTATGTTATTAATCGGCACTTTCTTCAGGTCCAGTATTATATTTTTCTTTATTCGTAGAATAAAATATTATTTTTTCCTTTGTCTCCACATTTCAAATTTATTCATAAGAGAAGACAACATTTTCAAAAATTGGTATAAATCATTCAGGAATTGTTCATTCTTCGATCGTTTCGCATCAGTTCTCTTCTCAATTACAACAGTAGCTATTATCACTCTCTCATCAAAGGCATACAATATTCACAGACTAGCAGTTGTTGCCAGAGCCTCCAATATTTTGAATACTTTAAAGTCACTGGAAGAAGAAAACTTCAGTTATGAGCACCCATGTGTACAGCGTTCCAGTGCTATCAGTTTACAATGGACGTACAGAGATCAAAAGGTTAGTTTTTTTGTTTGGTTATCCTGCTATTTCAACTACATCCTTGTATATTTTCAACACTCTACTGTCAGTAAACATTTGATGAAATAGCTGTCAAAAAGGTAAGATTATTCTGAAATAAATTTGTTTTTTATCTAAATTAAGTCAAGGCGTGAGCAGTTGTTTATTTATGGTGCTGAATGCATGATATAAGAATAATTTGTTGCTGTTATTATTCGCTTGAAAAATAATGAGAGAAATGATTTTCTCACTCAAATCATTAGTGTATCACGTAAATTTCAGTTGGTAAATGTTCCATTAATGTTGTTGGTAGATGGTGATATGATAGTACTTCGTGCTGGACAAGAACCTCCCTGTCGTTGTATTTCAAAAGAGGGCAGTTTTTTAAACTTGGGTGATAGATCGAAATTTCAGGAAAAGTTATCACCTGAAACTTGTGGGGTTCGTATTTTAATTGTTTGAAAAATATCTTTATTTGTCTTTAAATATTCATTAATTTCATCATTTGTATCAGCTCCTTATATCATGATTTCAGGTAATTCCATCAAAGCCTACACTATGGAAAGTTGTTGAGCCACCAATTGTTAGATTTATACGCAAAGCCTTCAATGATCATCATAAGAAGCATTCAAATTTATTAAATTCAGAAGTGGACATAGCAATTCACTTTATTCTTGAACGATTTATTTTACCATCCACATTCCTAATTACATCTGCACTATGTTGCTTCCGGTAACTATCGGCAACATATTTTAGTAAGCAAATATATGTAAATATTTTGCAAAGTCAGTTTATCGAAACCTAAATCTTCAAATGATGAAGTTAAATCATTTTAAGGTATTTTTTTTTCACGAAAGAAAGCATATTCGATTTATTAGTGGATTCATCATTGATCCTTATTCCTCTCTTAGTACCTACAGTTCCAGCTTTCTATCTGATTGGGCAGTTGTGGTAGCTTTTATATTTATTAGCATTATTAATCTTCTTTACATAAAATAATGTAATGAAATAGTATAGAATAAAAATCATGATTTTTGAAGATTGCTAGTAAAGTTTTCATGATGATGTCTTCAAGAAGCTATCAAAATTAGAAAATAGTGAATGTTCTGAAAATATTGGAAAAATGACTAAAATGCATCTCGTTTAAAGTAATCTCTTAATTTTTAGAATTTCATAATATTGCGTTTAAGCCTTATCAGGGGCACTAAATGTTAGTCACTAATACATATTGTTTTTCTAATATTTTTCTTTTCAGTCGATTACAGCTTCTAGATATCTTAAATGGTTTTAGGAATTTGGGCTTTGTCGTTGGTAAGGAGCGTGAGCTACGCTACCCAGAATCAACTTTTACTACTAATAATGCAGCTCGTATTTTTGTCAGCAAAGGCAGGAAAGGAAGCATTATTAGTGGTCTAAAAACTATTTACCAATACTTTGCTGGTATAAATTTCTGTAACAAAATAAAGAAAGAAACATTGCGCAATTATCTGCCATTTAATGTTTATTTCAGGTCATTTCCACATTTCACCGGATTTTGTTTTTACGTGTGGTGGACTTACATCTTGTACTTTCTTAGACAAAAATGGCTTACTTTCATGGCCGAATGCAAGCATTGAAAAATTGCTCTGTTTCCACTCTGACAATCTTTCTGGACAAGGTAGATTTAATGTGTACTGTTTCTTTCCTATTATTAGCTCTGTGATTTTTCGTATTTTTTTTCAAAATTTTGATAATATTTTAGGAGAAACAAAAAGGGTAGTCCCGAAGGTTTTGGATTTAACCATGGATGGAACTGGATCATTTTCTGTACATTTTGATGATCCCTCATGGTTGGCTACAATAATATTTTTAGTTTTTTGAAAAATGTTCTTTTATTAAGCGATTCTCACATTTCCCACATTTCATACATGTGTATACAGGGAGCGCTATAAAGGATCTTTGTTACCATTCGGTATTAGCAGCATTGTAAATGGTTGCTCTTTAGCGGCAGATTATTCATCTTTCCTGAATCACATCAATAATATTTCGAAAACTATAGCAGGCACTATTGCAGTTGCCAATCGGCGTTGTTTCTGCACGTTAGCTCGGTTATTAGGGTGAATTTGTTAAAGCTTTTTTCTTTTGATATATAAATTAATAAGGCGTGGGGAGTTGTTGCTTACTTGGAAAAGTTAACAATTATGCCTTGCAGTAAAATATAATTGCTAAAAATAAATTGTATCTTCTTCTATTATGAACTACTTTCAGGATAACAAGCACAACTCTGAAACAGTTTGATATCTCAGATACAAAAACCATAGGTTTTTACAAACGATTGTCTGGTGAAGGATGTGAAAAGGAGTTAGTTTGATGATAACGCTGTTTGTTCTTGCAATTAGTCTATAGACTTTTTATTCATCAAACATCTGATAGAAATTCACTGTGCTTTGGTGATATGGAGGATTATGAATCATATTTGAATATGAAAATCTAAATTTATGTATCTGTTTTCACAAATTCATTCAACAACTTTTTTTAGTCAATATCGACATTTTCGTTCATACGTTGATTTCAGTTATTGGTCAGTCATCGCATTTAACAGTATGTATCATATCCAATATTAAATTAATTTAGGCAGCGAAAGTTTCAAAGGCCATTAGAAAATGCTTTCATGACTGTTACGAAAGATGCATTGTCAAATTATTATCATGTCATGAGTCAAGGAACAGCAAATTTGTTACTCAGTGCTTGTTCGTATGTATGGTGTGAAAATTCAGTAGAACCATACACAGCAAGTCTTCATAAGCGAGTTCTTGATTTTTACCAACACAACGCAATGACTGGGTTTGTTCTGTTTCTTTTACTTTTAATACTTGATTTTATGAAGTGTTCAAAAGCTTACTCAAGCAACTAAGAGGTAAAAGTATTGTAACTAGACAAAGGATTCTAAACTTATCTAATCTAATTAAAAAGTCAACAATTTTAATCATAAATTCAGTTTGCAACGAAACGGAGCAATAACTACTTCAGATATTGCTTGGTTCTGGGATATGGAACTTTAGGGCGTACTCTTTCGGACACATTATGCAAGGAATATATTGACATTCCTTTAACAATGAAAAGTCATGGCGTTAGCAAAAAAGCCCCGACATCAATTCCAAGGACATTTAGTCTTGATATGGAGCTACTGGATGCATTTTATCAGCAGTTACCTTTGGACACAGCTTATGAATGTTTGGAGGAAATGTTACGTGGGCAAACTTTATGTGGATTAGTAGTTCTACAAAGTCAGGTTAATTTTTTTCAGTTTTTCTGCTACTATCATTGTCGATATTTCCATGTCATTGTTGATACTTCCATTTTTTCGATACTGTATACCCATTTATTTTCAACTTATCCTTAATTTCTTGGAGATCGTCATATTTCCAGGTTCGGAACGATGTTGTTGAATTAGTAGAACAGTTAGATCAGATATGTGTGCGATTCATTTATTTCTCGAAAGAAAACGAACTACGTAGTAGAATTTTTGCAGAAAAACTGGGCTTGGAAGCAGGGTGGAATTGTCATATATCATTAGCTAGCGAAGGTTAGAGAATTGTGGAAACTAATAGGCTCATAATGACACCATCAAAATGACTCTTTAATCATTTGCTATCATTTGTTAATATTTTTCTATCATAGCTGTTTGTTTGAGAAGTAAAATTTTTCCTACCATTGAGAATGACAAAATTAAAATAGCAGGTGATCATCGTTATTTTGACGAGCATTCTTGCACACATTCTAGTGATCAGCAAGTTCGTCGCTCATCATCGTGGACTGGAAATTTGGCTATAAATCATTATCGAACACCTGTTTTTTCGCTGCAAAATATTTTTAGGTATTTTCTGGCTGTTATGAAATATGATAAAAGTTCAGGTTTTTGGAAAAAAGAAGAAAATTTGTTCCAGGATTATTTATTTAGTGGAAAATTAAGTTTTCTAGTTTTTGAAATCATGCAAATACAAAAACAAATATATTCTTCTTTGCTTTGTTAACGACGAAATGTTGTCTTTATTCTGTTACATATTTCATGTAATATAGTGCCTGATTTCTCTGCTTTTTTCAGAGAGAATTCATCAGGATCAGATAGATTCAGGATACATATGTCTTATATTTTCAAGAAACTGGCGTCAGAATCGGTTTGTTTGAATTTATGTTGCTTTCATATCATATTTAATGTCATGAAAAAATATTATTTTCAGGTAACGTCTTTAAAAGATACGCAAAGTTGTCGCTCAGTTTATTCATATTGTGAAGAAGTGACTCCGAAAATCCTCCCAAATATAGCAAAGTTACCATCAGGTTTATTTCGAATTAGAAAATTGATGGTTAAAGTTGTGTAGAGAAATCAAATTGGGACGAATTTTTTCAATGTTTGCTAAGCATTAGAACTTTATTTAAGGAATTAAGAATATACGCCCTCATTTGGAAAATGTTGATAACGTTCCTCTGTTGGTTAATCTTTTCACAGACTGCAGTCATGTTTCGTGTCGAGAAATGGTTGAAATAATGCAGGTTAATTATTCCACTTTTGTGATATTTTTTAGTTCTTTTACTTTTTAAATAATAAAGTAATGCTTCATGATTGATAATTCAGGATTTCGGAGAAGTGGTGCTTGTTCTGGGATCGTCATTAAGTTATTTCAATAGTAGTATATTTAGTCAGGTGAGTCGTCACACAGAAATCTTCTATTTTAATGGAGAACTAGTTTTCATTAAATCATTTCATGATTCACTTCTAACCTATCACAATTTTAGAGCAATTGTTCAATCTGTATTGAACCTCTGCATCCTGCTTTATGCAGCAACGAAAATCTAAGGTGCGTTGATCATACAAAAAAATCATCAACTCTCGCTACTTTGATTATGGGGCTTTGTTGTGATGTCGTGGTATTTCCAAATCAGGTAGTTGCAGAACTGCAATATATCATTATTAAATTAATGTGGATTTAGTTTTTTGTCTTCGTTTTTTTCTTTTATCCAAAGGCGAATTTTTTCAACTTGTTTTTTCGTTTATGATGAAAGTATCATCATTATTTCATAATCAAATAGAATAGCAAGTTCGCAAAAATTTTGATCTCATTCATTAGTACAACAGCTCTCTTATCTCGTAAATGATATTGCAATATCTTTCGTATCTTGTATTGAAATTGTATCGCATTAAAATAATTAATAAGAATTTTGATTATTCGTTTCAGACTCTTGATCTTATTGCATTGATCTCATTTTGCCGGCATCAGTTAGCACTGTTTCGTTCTTCTTTACTTTTCTTTCTGTATTCAATAATTATGATTCTGATGCAACAAATCTCTTCAATATTATTTCTTCCAAATGTGTTATCCATTTTTCAGGTGTGTTTAATGCGTTCCATTTGATTAGATGCTGAAGATTTAAGTTGCCTGAATTTAAAGAAACAAATATTCTTGTGAAAAAATTCTTGCAAAAAAAAAATCAGATTGCTTTGAAATCAGGAATGGATTTTTTAATTAGTAATACATGATTCGTTGAAAGTTTTTAGATCTTCTTATTTATAATTATATATGTGCCACTGTTAGCTTGGTCACTAATGACATCGCCATATAAAGATGGTGAAAATCGAGATGAAATAGCACCAAAAAATATTCCTGCGCCTCCAAAGCGTATGATACATCGGGCGGTGATTTATTTTTCCGTCAATTTTCTTCCAGCTCATCTAGTCGTGTTCTTCATTTATTACAACACGGTAAGCACATTTTTCTTTGTGAATTGGATTGGTAAAATAAATAGCTATCTATAAATGGCATAAAATAACTGAGAACAGCACCAATTTGTCCTGAAAGTTGTATCAAGTAATATAATTTCATTTAAGGGAAATTAAGTAGAGCGAGGTAAAATGTTTAAGTGACTTCAAATATATTTAAGGTGACGGATGCTAAAAAGAAATACCTCTATCAGGAATCAGTAAACGGTTCATTTTGTGCAGACAATTATGTTGTTATTGTTGGACAGCATGTAGCTTCCTTTCATGTACGTTAAATAATTTTGTTCTTAATAATGCATGCTTACGTCTTTTTAAAGTACTATTAGAATAAATAATGGTGGTGATTTTTATGTAACGAAGTTTAATTTACAGTTGCTTCTGTACTTGTGTATTTTGTCGGCGAGTTTCGTTTATTTTCGGCATAATATTTGGAAGAGATATCCTCTACGTAATTATTATTGGCTTTGTAGTGTATGTTGCGTTATCTTTACTCAGGTATGAAAATAATTTAGACTTTTTTTTCAAGTCAGTGCTTTGAAAAATCGCTGTGCTTTAATGTGCATATACGCTGAAAGATTTTACATCCATCTACATGGTTTTAATAGGCAGTTTTTAATAGATATAATATGCCACAAGTTATTGCAAGTAAACAGCTTTTAATACATGACCACTTTTAGATTGCTTACACGAGCATCTCTCTTGGCTCACCGTTAATTATTTTTGATGGCAGGATATGGATAACAGTAATGTCATTTCTTTTCATGATTATCCTTGTTATTATTAGTGAACTCTGCAAGCTTCGCTTCATTAAACTTCATCGCCGAGATCAGCGAAGAAGGAAACTTAGCTTTAACACAAAATTGGGAATGAATTCACCCTACTAATAATAAAATATATGTTTGTGCGTTGTGTTTGAGTGTATATCATATAAGAATTTCCACATTCTTCGACGTGATTTAGGAATTTCTGAAACTATCAGTCAAAATGTAAATCGTCGAAAAATTGTGGTACTAAGGAAATAATTTTTTCACGTTTGCGATTTCTTATTCATTGCATTGTAAAGGGTTTAATGTGTGCATCATCCATTTAATACACTTGACTTCCATGAAATATTCATATTATCTGCTCTTTAAATCATAAGGAGATTTTTCAGAATGTAAAAGGATTAAACTTGTACAGAAGTTAGCTATAATCAATCAACATCAAACTTTCGTTATTACAGTAAACAAATTTAAGGAAGATGACACTCGCTCATAGCTTGACACTCCCTCTTCCCTCAGCATTCATATTTGCACATCTAGCTTTGGCACAAATCATAGGGTTATGTATTTGTTAAATAAACAAAGGTTACACAAGTTATGTAAGCTGCTTCCAAAGAACACTTGGTAAATGAGTAAAGTTGATGGGTAAGTTGGATGGGATGTCAGCTGCAATTATAAATTTGTCCGGTTCTCTTCTCATTTTCATCATCTCGTTTTGCTATGGAAGCTTGGTGGAGCGTCATCTATATGAGTAAGCTAATTGTCATAGATTGTGTTATATTTTTTGCTATTTGAGTATTTAAACAGTACTATGCAAATTGTGTATTTTGAGTGAATAAGGAATTAATGATTTGTGGGACGTTATTTCTGTAGCACAGAGATGGTCTTTTTATTGTCTGCAGATAATGTAATGCTACATATTTTGGCTATCAGAAATCAAATAAATGGAAATTCAACTCATTTTAAAATGAATAATTTGTGAAAACGTAATTCGTAAGTGATAGATAAAAGAATTTTAAGCGAACAGGAGTATAATTAGTCACAAAATTGTGAACAGTGATTTACGTTTTTGATAAGTGGATAATAAACTTTAGGAAATTACTGAATAGATCAGATAAATTGATTCGACCCGTACAGGATACAAGAGATGGGGTTCATATCACGATGAAGATGTATTTACAGCGGATTGCTTTTGTGGTCTGAATGCATTCTATGCTCTTATTCTAACCTTGATAAGATCGAGCAGAATTTTGAAAATATATTCTCTTTAATTTTCAGCAAATAAGGAATTCTATAAATATCTATTCAGTTTTGCGACTGATTAACTGATGACTGTGATGTTGACAAGTTTAATGAGCAATACATTCAAGTATGCGGGATAAGGAATGCTTTGTAACCCTTACAATATACATAAAGCATGAAGTTCTTCAAATTTACAAACGTTTTCACGTTTGAATTTAAAGTTAGCGGAAGATGACAGCAAACTTTTTAAGATTTCGCTAATTTTACACTGGTCAGTGAGTATTTCTACTGATGCCGGTAATTCGCATACGTCCGAAGTATATCCACAAAATTTGCATCCAAGATATTGCTTAACTAATAAACATCTTAAATTGTGTGAGATTTCAGGATGATCGGAATCAAATGATTGCACTCAATGCGTGGTTAGAATATGTAAGTGGTGTGTGAGGATTTTGCTTTCTGATTAACGAATGGTACTATCGTTAAGTCATACGAAAATTGATCAGGCGTAGATTAGTCACTACAATCTGATCTGTTTCTTCTCAATGATTATCAGTAGACTTGCGAATTTGCTATTTTAGAATTGGAATGATTATCGACTTGTATGGAATAGCTCGGAATATGAACAAATCAAGACAGTACGATTTGCCAGTGAATTAATTTGGCATCCTGATATCGTACTCTACAACAGGTATGCATCTATTTATCCATGATTAATCGTTAATTTCCTTATCTAATACGGAAGAAAACCTCAAATATCCTGGTAGTCGAAATGTTTTAATCATTTGAATTATTTTTTTATTTTTTAAAATTACATTTAGAAATTAGCGTAAAAGAAGATTATATATAAATTGTATTAAAGTTAGAACAAATATATAATTTGTAATATATACATATACTACAAATTTAAACGTGGCACAAGTACAGCCAAAGTGTCTGAATATGATCCAACGCCACAATTAATAAAGCGGAGAATTCCATACTATTTTTTCTTCCACATTTATTTTTGTTCTACCTTTAATTATTATTATGGATTCATTATTATGACGATATTATGCAAATAAATGACGTTAATACTGGTGCAGTCAATTTATTGCAGTGGTAATGCAAACTTCGATTCCACGTATAGAAGTCAGATTTTGGTATACAGTAATGGTGATGTCTTTTGGATTCCGCTCGGCAATTTTCGTGCATTCTGCAAGATTGACATTACATGGTTTCCATTTGATGATCAGTCATGTTATCTGAAAGTTAGTTGACTTTTAAGCTTCATAATTGCCACTGGTAACAAACAATAAACAAACTTTTAGTTTGGTTCCTGGACATACAATGGTTTAGCGTTGAATCTGGAACTTGATACTTCAGGAGGAGAAGGTAAATTGGTTTTGAATTGTTACTGCTTTTAAATTAACTGCAAGTAAATCTATAGCAATAATGATCAATTACGGCACTTTGCAACCTTCCGAATTTCGAAAGTTTCAAATGTGCAGAACGTAATTTACATTTACCCAAATTACTTGAAAAATTAAATAAATTGAAATTTTAATTTCAGAAGCTTCCATCGATTTATCATATTATATTCCTAGTGGAGAATGGACCGTTAAAAGTTTGCTATCTTTATTACTTATTCAGAAACTCATAACGATTGTACTATTTTTATCCATATAAAATTTCAGGTACGAGTGCAAAGCGCAAAAAGGCATTCTATAAATGCTGTTCTGAACCTTATTATTCAATTGAATTTTTCATTAATATTCGTCGCAGAACTGTATATTATGGCTTTAATATTATTATTCCATCTATACTAGTTGCTATGTTCACCACACTTGCATTTACTTTGCCTCCAATTGATCTATCAGAAAAAATTGGCTTTCGTAAGTTCAATTTTGTACACATGGTGTCAAAAAATTATTTACTCCATCAGATATATGAAGAAAATTATACCAAAATTGAATATGTGATAGTTCCCATTTTGGTAGATATTGTCAAGTGACCAGCAAAATGGCATACAGATGCTCTTAACATTCTACGATTTTGCTATAGCCGTCAATAATTTCATTGTATGAAATAGGATCAGATTTCTCGTTTACATTTAACTCATTTTGTAAAATTATTTCAGAAACAGTGCTGATTTCTTCCATATGTTTTTTCCTCATTTCTGTAAGCCAAATTACTCCACTCACATCAGAAACCGTGCCACTCTTAGGTTTTGTTTACTTCCATAGTTACTGACGCTTTTTTTATTGATTTCAATTTAATATTTGAAAGAAGCGTTTTTCACGTTAAAGGTATGTTTTTCTTAACAATGACCACGCTGGTGATATCATCGATAACATTTACGATAGTTGTTCTTAACATACGTTACAGATCACCAGAAAATCATCAAATGGGATCGATCGTAAGTTTTGCTTCCAATTTAACTTGACTGAGAAAAAAGTCTATATTCTCCACACTTTGAAAAAAAAATCCACCTACTTGTTATGCAAAACGTCACATTTGTAGATCCGTTTATTCTTACTTGAGTTCATGCCAAAAATATTACGTATGAAAAATGTTGGACATTATTACCAATCTCAGCCAGGTATTTCCCACAATATTAAACCGAAACCTCAACCACCAGGAAGCCCTATTTTACAGGTCATTCCCAATTAATTTATACATAACAAATATTTTCTGTGGTAGCAACTGTGATTTCTGTCGAAAAGCAGCTATTCTTCCCAATTATCTTGAGTCTATAATTAATTATTCTAAATATTTTTTGGAAGGAAATATGAATTGTAGAATTATTCATTTTCTCTTTTAATGGAATTTTATTCATCAATTCATTCAGAAATTCTGTTGGATATAATCTAGTAATTATTTATTGGAATATTGTTGAATAATTAATCTGGTTCTACGAAAATTAATTGAAAATTGAAACTTTTAGCTGAAGAAATTCAATTCACTGGGACGTACACCACTGAAAGATGAGGCTGAGAGAGACTACTCACTAACTTTAACTACCCAAGTCTTAGACACTCAAGCTGAAGGTGTATGCTTGCCACACAAAACTGGCAAGGAACTGTTTAGGAATTTATCGAGTTCAAATGTAGACATGAAAAGAGCAGCACAATGTGATGAATTTATCAAGGAATGTATGGAAAAACTAGCAGATATTAGTAAGTAATTGATACTTTTGACTAATAATGTTAATGTTTTTGACTAAATCTTTATGTATGTATATATATTAACTTTTGGATCACTTTTTACTTGGTTAATTATTTCATGCAAACTTATATATATATATATATATATAATTATTCTTTACTACCATAATTGTAGACAGTAATGAATATAACGAGAAGGAGCTGATTGTAACAAAATATTATGCAAAAATGTCCTCAGACCTAAAATATATTTCTGACAGAATGCAGGGGAAAAAGACAAAAAATAACGTAAAGGTAATAAATATAATATTACTGTATTGAAAGCACTGCAAGGAGAAAGAAATTAGAGTAGTTATTATATATTATATAATTATCAAACTTCAAACCTATTTAAATTGTTTTCTTATTAGTAAAAATGTCAAATTAGATACATGATCCCAACATTTCAGGATGAGTGGAGATTCGCTGCAACGGTAATAGACCGAACATGTCTTTTCATTTTTTCATTTGTGCTAATATTCACTACAATTGCAGTTTTCACTTCTGCACTATATTTTCATGCTTGATACGCACCTCCTTTAAATACTCACTATTTACTCGAATTTACAAACAAAAATACTCGTTTCTAAACTTTACAGTACATCAGTACTAGGAAAAACCTGTACACGAAAACAGGAACATTGCAAAAAGGCATTTACATTGTTTTTCACCAAACAACTTAATCTTAACAATTAACCCGATTTTCAAATCAAGATTTAAAATGACGATTGCTTATCAGAAAAAATTATGCTTATTGAACAATACACAAAGCATGCATCGACCAGATGATATTGTGCATGAAATTATGCAAGATTAGAAAGCTCGAGACAAGGTCCATTCATATTTATATTTTGGTGCTTGAAGGCACGAGATGCTATACAGAGGACCAAAATGAAGACACAATAAATGCAAAATAATGATTCATACACTGGACTTAAACAGAACAGCGATTTCATGTTCCTGTTTAGTACAACTTCAAACAAGATATTAGAAACATAAAAATAATCGCTAAACAACGCAAAAAAAGCACCGTTCGTCTGTTATTGTGACTGAAACAACAATTAATCAGAAGTAAAATCAAACTTTTCCCTATATTTGATATCCAAAATTTACCTGATGCTTCAGATATATATACTGAGAGAAAATTACAATTCAGTCTTCTGTGATCTGTTTATTTTCGTCAACTCTCTCTCAATCTGATGCACTATGAGATCTGCATTTTGAACTTCAATTATAACTCCGCCAATTTCTTGGCGAAGGGTATTTTGAGAGCCGCCATAAAATCGAAGAGATGGATATTCAGCAATTCTAACATCTTGACAAATACTATGCCATTGTCCACAGTCTATTTTTGCCAGTTTTACGCGACCTTCCAAAATCTAAAAATTTATTGACAGAACTGCATCTGTTACACGTCGCTTTTGCTTCAGATTTAAATATTAAACATGAAAAAGTTTTCTCAACACTTTATTGTTTTAACAAGTAGAGTTAGGATAAAAAATATTAGACTAAAGTTAGCCACAAAAATTTTTAAATAATCTGGCAGATAAAGAATACAAGATTGTTGATCTGAATGAATCCACTTATTCGTTATGAAGTTTAACGTCAAGATTGAAAACATAAGATAGAGAAGCTTGACAATATTTTTTAAAATCTACCTCAGCAACGCGCTCAAAAACGGAGGCGAATTGAATGCAGGGTGAACACCAAGTAACAAAAAAATCAATTAGCCACGGTTTCTTATCAGTGAGCACTAAGTCAAAGAATTCATTGCCTATACTGACAACTTTTGATGGTAGATATTGGGATACCCATACTTCCATAGAGTAATGATCACGTCTCCAATTTGAGGGATAATCTCTACAAAAGCCAAACTTAAAGCATTCAAAAGTAATGTAAGGAAATCCTGAAAATTTTAAATGAAAAGTTAATCATGGATATTTAAGAAAAAATAGTTCTACATGAGAGCATTTACTTAAAACTTGATTATTGAATCTGATCTAATAAAAAATTAGTCTCAGTAAATTCACATAGTTTGATATCCAGGGAGATAAAGACGAATAGTTGGATACGCGTGAATATTTTGACTTGTGCAGAAGGGTCGATAATAATCGCAATCTACCATACCAAAATGAAGGAATTCCTTTTTGCGCATATTTCGAGCCAGTTTCTTGTATTGAGGTGCCAACTAATGTAGAATTAAAGATTATGTTGTTTTCAAAAGATAACGCAGTATAACAAAACGTTAAAATTTTTGTATTCAAAAAAAATTTCTTTTTTGAAAAAAATGTTTATAGCTATAAGCATTGCCTACCTCATTACAAGGATTACACCACGGTGCATAGAAATCAACGAGCCAAATGGTGCTTTGTGTTCGATGTCGAACCATTTCTTCGAAATCAAATGGTGATAAAGAAATGGCAGCTGGATTTCGTGCATCCTGACAAAGCTTTTAATTAGTACACTTCTCTTTTAAATCTCCGAAACTTAAAACATATTATAAACACAGACTTCAATAAATTCCACAACCGCGCCAACATTCGAATAGCCAGAACGAGTATATGAACGACCATCTTTATGCCACATTATACGCGGATAACTATAAGGCATAATAATGCGATAATACGTCAGGAACAAGAACGAAATTCAAGAACTTGATTGTACAATTTGAAAATTTTATTTAAATAATGGATGTTCATATATGTTGAAATTTCTAGAATAGGAATTTTAAGAAAATTAAAAGCATATGAATTGCGAGAATAAAAGCTTCAATAACTTTAAAAACTTACGTATTTACGTTTAATCTATCACAAATATTTACATGCTGATCACAGTCAATAGAGCCAATCTTAATATTTTTCACATATTTATGCAATTTTCTTAATTCGTGCAACAAACGCAAGCAAGGCGGGCACCACTGTAAATAAAACTCATAAAAGTTAAAAATCATAACACTGAAGTGATTTACCACAGCACAAATATAACTTACAGGTGTATAATAATCAATCAGCCATTCTTCATTTGAGTTAACAGCGTCTGCATACGTTTCAAATGTAAGAGTAGTAAGTGGAGAAGTATGACTCTCTTTAGCAAAAAGAACAATATCGTTTATGGTCCCCATAACTCCTAAAAAGAGTAAAACTGTTGTCACTAATCTCTCATAAATTTCTTAGCTACAATAGTGCATTAACAGCAAAAAACGCTATATAAGAGTAAATGCATAACTTGTATCATATATATTTAGAAAAGAAAAGTTATCAATTGTAGATTATGAGAAGATTACATTAATTGTAAGAAATGTATGATCACAAAACTGAATCAAAACAAACCATGACAAATTTCGTAGCCTCCGTGTTTTTTAAATAACACCCATTTCGGAAACTTACTTAATAGTAATTCGTCACAAATACTCTTTGAATTAATGCAATCAGCAAAATATACCTGCAAGAGTGCATAACTTCATGAAAAACAAGTTAATCAATCACAAAAGTGTATCATTTTCACTATCCTTGAAAAATGCTGTCGCTCAAGAAATATAAGAACATTTTCAAACAGACTATGGCTGAAGCAAATCCAAAAATAATTAAAAATACTGAATAGTAAGCTTCAAGTGACCAGACAGTGACGTTTGCTACTGAAAAGATTTCTAGTTTATCAAAATTAGAAAGCATGAACAAAATAAAATGACTTATGTTATAAATAGAATTAAACTATTAGTGGGACACTTCAATCACTTATAATTTAAAAACTGAAACAGAATTCAAGACATATTTTGAAAATATGACTACCTTTATTTGTTCTGCTGCTAATTTCGGAGGAAGTTTTTTAAGACTGATATCATTATGTGCCTCAACGTCAAATTTAATCAAATATGAATAGTCGCGATTTTTACCTACAAGTATTTCATATTTTCAAGAAAATATATTTACTTACTTCTCTGACATTTCAACTACAATAAAGGCCAAACATTATTTACTGCAATGCATATTGATATAGTCGAAGAAAGTTAATATGAACTTTACTTTTAACAATATTTTGCAAAGTTCCATCGATATAGGGTATACTGAATGCATGCATCAGAACAGTAATTTCTACTTCTCTGAAATCGAGGCTATCAATCTCCTGAAAAATTAAAATCATACCTTATCACCAATCATGCTCATAAAACATCGAGAACTAACTAAAATGTCACTCACTAAGGATTCATCTGGTTTCAATGCATTATCATTTCGGTAGTACACAACACCGTTATCGCGTTGAAACAATGTACAAAGTTTCGGTGCTTTGTCACAGTTTACAACTCCAACACTCAAAAGACCATTAAGACTTGCTGCGAGTTTCTTCCTGTAAAAAATAAACTTCTTGTGTTTGTGTATTTTCAGCATATTTATGGATTTTAAGTTCAAAATATCATCCCACAAAATAAAGAATTCGCATGATCTGCACAAACAAGCCAACAAATAAACAATTAAATCTGGTTGTATAGTGCACCATTATACGGTTATCAAGTTATGGTATTCTAGTAATTTAGATTACTATTACTATCACCGCTACTGACAAAGTATTTGGGTAAACACACAAAAAGAATTATAACTAAATGTATTCCAATATTTCTATTTCTAGAACATTTAATAACAAGCACATACTCAACATAAAATGGTTCATAAAAGCTAAAAATAATTACTGTCATTACAAAAGAAAAAATCGTATCACACATGATAGAATTAAAAAGTAGCAGTTGATTTTATGTAGAGTTTTTACCGAATAGCCAAAAAATTTTATTAAATGAAAATTTTTGGAACCAAAAATGACTCATGACTGCGTAGATAAATCTATGATTTTATGAAACATGCATAAACGAGATTTTCATTATTCATAAGCAACAGCAGAAATAATGCATACGCTTTCAAATTCACCGTGTAGACAATAAGTGACTTAACTTTCAATATATTTTTTTTATAAAATCTTATGTTTGTGAAAGCTTGTCTATAACATATATTCTCACATACCTTGTCAATTCTGACAAACAAACATCAGTCTGTTTCGTACAGAAGTCCAACAACCAGTTAAGTGAATTTCGCTCACTCGTAGAAGAATTAAAGAGACCAGTATCCGAGTTCTCTAAATCAAATACTTCAGCATCGATAAAATCCATTGCAAATGATATTAACAAGTCTACTTCACGTTCCCCTTTGAAAGAACGACGCTGGAATGATTAATAAAAGTCTACAATACATAAATAAAATTCAATCACATAAGGGATCACAACAGGATCAATTCTTAATTTATATCGACTACAAAATGATGGTGATTTCAATGAAAAAAGTAAATGAATGCAAATTTGCTGATAAATGACATAATATAGCACCTCATTTTGAATCATACATGTCTTGTATAGATTAAATGAACATACAAGAGTATACAAATATTGAATATAACTATCATGTATTTTGAAGACAAAATATACGCGTAATTTGGACTTACATGTGGATAGACAATAAGACTTGGGTAGCTCATCACTCCTTGTGAACGACAAAGCATTGGATCTTCGGCACAGTTTACTGCACCTATGCGAATGACTCCTTCCATTTCTTGAGCAAATTTTCTCCACTATAAAAATATCCGATCAGTCTTAAATACTGAAAAATTAATAATATAAAACTTACGGTGGGTGCCAAACGATGACAATGTGAACAAAACGTGGAATAAAAATTGATAAACCATAATTCATCAGTTTCTGTTACAGTACTTTCGAAATCCGATCGAGATAATGTTACTATTTCCTTATCTTCATCATATATTCCTAAATTGTTGTACAGTTATACAAATATCTCTTAGCCTTGTATGATCTCCTTAAACTTTTATTACAATTACGCTGATTACATTTGTTTTTTTTAAAACTGATTCACAATAAATAAGTATCTGATAAATTTTATGAGAAATACTAACCAAAATTGTCGTGGTAAAACTGCCACGATTGGTACTGATATCCTCCACCAAAATCATCGCTCAAACCCTCCTCACCATACTGATCATACTTTCTTCGTAACTCTTCGTTCATTAATACTTCATAAGCTCGATTAAGTTTCACAAATTCTTTATGCGCATTTTCATCATTCTGCAAATAGACTTGTGAAAGACTAGATAAATAATCATTAACAAATGGTTCAACAAACTAATATACACGACGTTTCTGTTTGCTTTACAGAATTTTGTAGTAGATTAGGACTTCATAATAAGTTTTAATAAAAGCAGCAACGAGAAACGCTAAAATTCCATGCATAAGTCTGGGTTACGTTTTTTCTTGTAAAAAAAATGTTATAGTCATAAAATATATGATACAAACAAAACAAACAGGATTTTTATCTGGATGTTTGGTCAAGGCTAACTTCTTGAAAGCTCTTCTGATTGCTCGATTATCAGCATTTCGTGACACTCCAAGCAAACGATAAAAATCTTCACAGTTTGCAAACAAGAAAAAAAGATAAAGAAGAAAGTGCGAGATAAAAACCATATTATTGAACATATTGTGTGTTTCTGTTTGCCATAAAACAAACAAATTTACCTGAAATATAACAATTTATGCTTTATTACATCTTAATGAAAATAAGAACTAAGCAGCTTCTTATGACTCATTAAATCAATCAAAATTTTTAACGTGGAAACATGGCAAAAAATTAGTGCGTGAGATTAAATGCAAACATAAGAAAGAATATTATCTACTCATTATAGAATGCATATCTATGATTTTTCTGATTCCGTAAACAAATACACACTAGGGATTGTTATGTAACTTTAGCATGAACCAGAATTGAAGAATAAAAGTGACGAGTTTGCACGACAAATTTATATGTAGCAGACCTGCAACCGACCTGGTTCAAATTACCATATCGTAATCATTCTCGAATTGCGATTAACTTGTAATACTGCAAAACGTTTTTTTAAGCTACATCATTTTAGAAGAGTTTTTCGAATAAACTTGACTTTCATAAATTGTTTAAGAATATTAATGAGCAGAAGAAAAGGAAAATTGTTGCTGAAATGAAAATTAGTACACAAATTTAAAGAATAAAAATTTGTAAAATTTTGCCATAAACATTAAAGTATAATACATGTTAGAAAATAATGTCAGTTCAATATAAACAACTGTGGAAGTTTCGACGATACTGACTGGTAATAAAATAAATTTGCATATTATTAGTTTACATTCTAGTGTTAAAAACTGCCTTGGTCACAACCAGAGTAGATATGTTACTACTCTAGTGAAGCAGAACTATATTCTTGTATTGAGATATTCTTAAATAGCACTCCCGAGATATACTACTACTACATTTTTACTTCAGTAAATTAAATGTGACGCCAATAATGGATACTAGTAAAGAGAGAAAAAGTATGTCAGTGACAGTCTGTGAAGGACACCAATTTGTTTGCATTCACAGAGAAAGGCAGAACACACTTGGCAAACTAACAGACTAAACATTTAAATATATTGACTGAATGACCTCTGACTTTAACTTTTCTGTGGTTTCGTACTTTTAATCATTCATCAGTTCAATCAGTGTTTGATATCTCTTTAAATTTGTAGATTATAATCAAGAATTTAGATGGCAATATTAAGTGAATACATTGGTGCAGTATTTGTTGCTTTCTTATGGGGTACTACTAACCCCTTAATTCGTCAAGCGGCATGTTCTCGAACACAATCCCGAGATATCGCTGGTAATTATCCTCAGTACTTCATAAGTAGAACACAGTCATCGAGATTGTAAGTGTCGTAAATTCTAAATTAAAAGTAAAGTCAAACGTTTTACGCTTAACATCGTATTAATTAACACAGGTAAATAATATTATGATAAAACTTCACGTTTGGCCTTTACTTCTAATTCATCTTCTGTAACCAACAAATAGCATTAGTACAGCAATGCAATTAATGAAAAATACTTTCAACTTTCAGGAAATTATTATGGCAAGCGTTTAATCTGGCAATTATGGGAGATTATTAGATATTGGCCTTTTTCGATACCATTTGCAGTAAATCAGATAGCATCAGTTAGCTTTCTTGCACTACTTTGACAAGATTTGAAGTAATTAAAATAGCAAAACTGATTGTGAAAAATGATGAATGAAGTTTAGATTCCGGAATTAGAGTATAGCGTATTTAGAATTTCCGACGAAAGTAGAACTTATCGTAAAAATGCTAATCCTTCTCATTGTAGTACTGCATTAGAAAACTCATTTAACAGCTACTATCTACTTCTAATTATTACAAATCAACAACAATAGCAGTGTTATGCTGATCCTAACAAGATTACTTTCAGCTCTTATACATGTGGGTACTGACTAAGTTACCAGTAACTGTTGCTGTTCCACTCGTGAATTCATTAACATTTGTATTTACTGAATTAACTGGACGAATGCTCGGTGAGAAAGGGAATCATACTGTTATTATCGGAGCTATTTTGATTGTCATCGGAGCTGCTATTACTGTGTTGGCTGATTGAAAATAGGTAATTCTCGCTTTTTGCTTTTACTAGCAAGTATAAATAAGTAATCAAGTGCAGCAACCCAAAGATATAGTTTAAAATATTCTTTTTCAAAATGAGTTCTGACTTAAAGTACAGACTCATGAAATTTCTTCGGGGAGAAAAGAAGGCTAGGCATAACTAACAACAGATTTGAGTATTAGGATATTCTTAAAATTAAATAAAATGTACTTCTAAAGAAGTAGTAATTCTAAAAATGAACGTCATACAGAATTACTGAAATGCAGAAACTTAGCAGACAAAAGGAAAATTTACAACATAGAGGGCTAACCTTTTTTGTGTAAAGTTTGTAAGAATGAGCGTAGATACCAAAAACGATATAAAACTCGGAGTATTCTTTACAGGTGTACTTAAAATTCTTGAACATATCAAGGAATAACAAACGTCAACGAAATCAAGAAGAACTCTATCCAACATCATAATCTTAGTAGAGTTCATGCTCAAAAAAGCTACAGGCAACATATAAAGAGACAAAAGACATGTAGCTCGACATTCGTTATCTACATCACGGGCTTGAAAATGCTTTCGCAATGCAAAAAAGTCATGAATGCTGAGTACAAAGTTGGATTCGCTAAATAAGGATGACATAATCAATAAGAGCTCGTGAATTTTTCCAGTGTCTTGCAAAAAAGTGGATGAAACATAATTACCTTGATTTATGAGACATAATCGTAACAAGAGGTTAGGACCAATTTTACAAAAAATTTGTTTCATCTTACAAAGTTTTATGTACCTCTAAAACTGACTGATTTCAAAATCATCTTTTATGATGATTATGAATTCAATTAAACTACACACTTTGAACAATGAGAGTTCTGTAATATAAATAGAATACAATAGAATATGGTAATGTAAATCATTATGTAATATTACTTTGTTCCTAGTGTGCGGAAACAAAAATTCATCTGATTGTTGAAAAAATGAACACTCGAAATGTTCACAACAAAAAACATAAAATACTTGCGAAAAATATTATTAACTGATGAACGTCTCATCCATGATTTTTTTTGATTTTTTTGCTTAAATTAGGGCCTCGTTTTTTTTGATTACTTTTCTCTTCTTGTTTTCTTTTTACTGCTTCAGAAACAACTATTTTATTGATTGAGAAAAACGAGTCAATACGAGCCTGTTGACCAGCTTGACGTCCTTTCTGCATTCTGGCTAGGCTACTTCTCACTCTATCTTCACTAAAATTAAGAGATCGAAAATACTGTCTGAAGTTCAGTAAATATGAAATAATTGAATTTGGAAGCCAGCTAATAAAAGAAAAAATATAAAACATGCTACCTGAAATTTTTCTCACCGCACAAGAACTTCACAATTCCATCGACATCGGGTTCATTCCAGGCTAGCTGAAATTCAAGTACTGCAGTATAAATCTAAATATAAACATAAGACAATTTGCTTCTGATATGCTAACTTACTTCTATGTTTCCACAGTCTGTTACGTCCGGTTCTAAAAATAATCTTCGCGCTTCTTTGTATTGCCAATTTTCAGGTACAGAATACTTCTAAAATTCAAGTGGTTCTTAATACAAAAATTTAACGAAACAGAAAAAAGAATCATGAACCGTTTGATCGATGTTGTTGAGAACATTCTCAATGCACTTATGCTTTGAAATCATTTCAAAAGCTTTCTTCGGACCAATACCACGTATAGTTGATGTGTAATCACAACCCAACAGAATGCAGAGATCAACGAATTGCTCCATATTCATTTCGAAATCTTTTAAAACTTTTTTTAAATTCAGTTCCTTCACGGGTAGTTTTTTCGCTTCGCTGGAACAAAAAACTATCGACATCAGGTTAAAAACTTTATAAAAATCTGAATTAAAACAATGAAAAATTAGGTTCAAAAGTGAGGATCTTGAACAATGAATTTGAGATTTAATTCAAGGAATTATTTACAAGAATATGAATCATACAGTCGAATTTAGCCAAATTACGAAGTAATGACAAGTATTATCAACAACTGTAAATCATAAACAACCTATTCAAGTTTCAATAAAAACTGGTGCCTGACACTAAAAGTGAATCAAGCAGTTGTGATCGCCAACAATTTTGAAACCGTAAAAACCATTAGGTTGTACCGCTTCCAAGCATCTGTTATAGCTACTCAAGTTTTGTAAATGAGAATCTAGTAGTTTAATATATTTCAAAAAATACGGTACTCAAAAAATAGTTTCGAAAAGATTCACATTATTTTGACTAACCTTGCTATCATTTGACGTAAGAGAATAGGTGAACCAAAAGTCAATGCATCCATATCTTCGGAGACAGTGCCAAAAACCTTTCCACTTTTCGCAAGAGCAGCACACTGAGCTTCTGCCTCACAAGGAGCAGTTACTACTGGAACTCCCATTAACTTTATAAGTCGTTTTGCTTCCTCATTCTGTTCTTTAGAAACCTTAAAATTATTGAAAAAATTATAGGAAATATTATACGACGTATCTACCAAAATGTTTAAAATAACAAGAATAGAAACTATAAGAACACTATGTTCTTTTTACTTTGAAAATATCATTATTATTTTTCTCTCTTAGCAATTTTTCTTCAACTGCTCTGAGAAACAATAAAAAATAAAAATGAGATTATGATTTTTCCTTAACAAATTCTTCCATACCTTTACAAGACGTCTATCAAACTTGTTGACTAAATTTACATCACCTAACTCAGCTGCATCGTCTCGCTGCTTTTCTGCTTCAGCTCTTCGCTCAGTACGTTTTTCCAATTCACTTGCTTTCATTTTTGGTGGTTTACCATCAAAGACATACACAGGCTTGATGCCATTGTCAATCATACGAATTGTTCGGTAAAACATTCCCAGAAGATGACTAAAGAATTACTTTTTCCATTTTTTGACTCTATATGGGCATCATTTATGCTATGGCAACACAAAGTCTCATAATTGATTTCCAGAAATTTTTTGATATTCTCATCTAGTATAATTATTACCAAAATGATACCAGACTATTTTAATCACAATTGGCCAAAAGTTTGTGCGACTCTATATTACCAACATATTTGTAATCTTAGCTTTAGTAGCTTTATTAAATAATTGATCAGTCGGCTAATCAATATGTTAATTCATAGAACGGTGAAGACTGTATTTACCTGGTTGTTTCGCCTGTTTCTGTCTGCAATTGTGATCCATCTTGTCGCACAGCAATAAGAAACTGATAAAGACACATGGATGCATCCACTGCCACCTTACGTCCAAAGTAACTTTTGAATTCATTAAGTCGTAAACTGCCAGGTGAATGATCGCCAATCACTTTCGACAGGTCTTTAACACCCATATCCAGCAATAGTCAACTATAATATCATTTCTTGTAAATAATAACATAAAAAGAGTCATAAAATGGATCACTTGGCGTCAATACTATCACAGACTAATTTACTTTTTTCATATTGTTTCTTTTTGGAATATATCCAAAACTTTAGAATGATTTTAACCTTTAACCTCAATGTCCAACCAATCAAAAAAAGTATACTAGAATTGAATATACTCATTACAGAGTTAAATAGAACCACTGTTCCTTAAAAAGGTACATTCATTAACTTTATTTAATTTTCCTCGCATGTGTACACATATGAAATAGTTTCTATTGCAGCACAATAAGGAGTAGAAAGGCATAGTAGTGATATGTTTAAATGAGTATTACAGGATCACTTATATATTTCTTGAGAAATAGGTGGCAGTTTGAAGTGAACTGCTCATACAAATACACTTCAGAAACGGATTCTCGTAGGTGTTGGACTGGTATGGAATAGATGAATCGTAGTCTGTTTTGTAATGATAAACTTAAACGGAACCAGTTATTTCTTGATATTATTAGATAAATATCGAGAATTTTAATAGTATCGTCAGACTGCAATCAAGAATTTTAAATATAGCTTCATCCATAATTTTGGAATACTGTGTTAGAATTTTGATTTGCAAAACTTTTGTAGCATTGATTTCTGCAGTGATTAACTGGAGATTAATAATTACTTGTGTGATGTGTAATAAAAACTATTATAAGCAGTTCAGTAAATCATTGTATGAATCTTGTAATCCTACATTTTGTAGATCAGTTATAAATGAATTCGATCAAGGCTTCATCTGTAGCAAACAGTACTATAAATGAAGATCAGTTCGCAGAAGAAAACTTTGATGCTACATACTGTAAGTGTGTTCCTTTTGATTTTTGAGATGCGCCATATTTGTTTAATTTCATTGACGGTTCGGTATTTTTGTATTCTTATACCAGTTAAAAATATTATGATATAGTTAGACTATTTTTATGAATATTTTTACTATATATAAAAACAAGATTTCTGTAATGGGGAAAATTCTTGTCAGAAATATTTCTGCTTTTTATATGTGAAATGTGTGAATTGCTAAGAAAGAACGCTATAATTTACAAGTTTACAAACTCAGAGAAAGATTTATGTCACATTTTTCAGATGTGCGAGATCAGCTTAAGGAGATGAAAAGTGGTGATGAGGTTAGACAGTTACATGAATTACGAACCAAATTAAATGTAATTAACGCTCATTCCTCGGAGTCAATGAAGAAAAGTGTCTTTTCAAACTACCAAAAGTTTATCAATACTGCCAAAGAAGTTTCACGTTACGTTCTTCTCAGCCACATTAAATTTTAAACTTATGTGTACTCAGTCATTCAGTTTTTTTACTTCTCTCTGTTGACAAAAACTTAGTCATTATTTATTTATTCTAGTTAAACTATAGTTTAAAGATACTTGTAAAATCTCTTCAAGTTCTTGTCAGAAAATTAATATCAAGCGAAATGTACTTTCTATATGAAATGGTTGTGCAGTGTATGCCGTACAAATGTTTTTGTCGTCTGAAATTTCTATGTTGTAAATTTTCACCAAAAATTTAGGCCAAAATGTTTTATATTCATGTAAATTTTTTTTCATTTAGTTCTGTTCGATTGAAAGAAATAGAGATAAGATGGGAACATTTAATGTGCATTCTATATTTTCTTCGATTATAGTACACGATTTATTATACTACTTCAGTGCACTGTTATTGAAATTATGAGTTCGTAGACTGGTGATAATAAGTGCTAACTTTATAGATTTGGAACGAGAAATATACCAACTTTCATCGTTGTTATCGGACCAGAGAATGCTTATTGAATCGTTGATGCAAATGACTGGAGAAGATCGTTCTTCTATTGGGACTTTTAGTTTGCATGCTTCATCCTTTAATATCAATCCAATAAACATATTGATGCAAAAAATGGATGGTGTCGCTGTACGTTTAACTTGTCGACTATTTGCAGCATGCAGTTCTTTTTCTCCAGGCAAACAGTTCTCTCGAAATTTTTATTGGTTTCTGCCAAATTGTAGTATAATTTGTTTGTTCCGATTTGCAAAAATTTCACTGATTTGTGACTTTTTCAGGCTTTATTGAATAACTTGTCAAACTCTGACCAAATTATCATGTACGGTGAAGTAATTCAACTCGACAACGACAGCATGAGACCACAGCAGAGTGTGATGCTTATTTTGTTATCAGATCGACTGCTTATTGGACAGTCGTCCTCAGGTAAAGAAGAGACGTCCATGCATTATCTATTATTCAAAGATATTGAAATTATTCTATAGTAAAACTGAATTTCGTTTCATTGTCGTGTATTTTTAGTGAAGGAGAATTTTTTAGGAAAATGTCGTTTCCAGTTTGAATCTTCACATCCATTGAATAACTTAGCAGCTGTTAATATCAAAGATGGAGAAAATTCTGAAGTGGCTACTAGCATGTTCAAGTTGTTGATTTTTCCCGGTCAAAGGTATTCTGTTCTACAGTGAATTACATTCAAATTTTAGAAAATAGCTACAAAGCAGAATAGCAATAATTTATATGTATATAAATTATTTCAATATCTTTAAATAATAGATAATCCATTCTTCTCATTCTCAAAGCAACAGAATGGTTCATATATATATATATTGAGAAGTGGCTTATTTTTAATAAAACTGTTGCAGAATTTTTCTTGCTGAAAGTGCTAGAGTTAAAAAAGAATGGTTAGAATGCATTGACAACGCGAAAAAAGAAATGCTACATGAAGGATCGTTAGTACGTCAAGCAACTATTCGAGGAAAGCGTTGTAAAGACTTATCAGCTAAGGCTAAAGTCACTACTCATCTTATGCCAGTTGCAGAATCAGTAGCAATTAAGTCACCAGATGAAAGCGCATGGCTTAGCGAATTGCCCGCAGAACTAGATGATTGCATAGCTCATCGAGATATGGAGCATGCGGTGATTTTATTAATTTCAGGATAATGAACGAATATTTATAGTGTTATAATATTGAAAACAATCAAACAAAAAATGTTTTTTGTAGCAATTGATTTTTTTCAAACTAATGTAATTTTTTAACCAAAGGAAGTTTGCAAACTTCATCTTAAATCTATTTCAGGTTGAACTGATTATGGAATGGAAGAGTTGTGGTTCACGAGAAGCCGCAATTGATGCACAATTAGTTCTACGTGAAACTCAAATTGTACAGTTATTGTGTGAGGAGGCAAGATTATTTTATTAAGAGTAGTGATGGCAAGGTTATCAAACAAATATTTATTATATTGTAAAGTTGTTTTAGGTTCGTCGTCCGGGTGCTTTGCACGGCGGCCCACGAGCTGTTAGGAAAGCAATAAATCTTTTGACGGCTCTTGGTCGAGCATCACAAGCAGTTGATCTTTATTTGAAAAAAAGAAGTACTGTGGTTCGTTATTTTCTTTTCATTTACGAACAGTCGATAAAAAATGATATGGAAAAAGTTGTTCCTTAATGGAACATATCTTTGCACTTATTGTCTTCTCTTAACAATATTAGCTTGTTTATCACAAGGTATCATTTTGCGTGTTCTAAGGTGATCAGTAAATAGAATTGTGCTGTAATCACATTATGTTATTTTTATTGATCAGATGTAAGTGTTCATCTTGTTCTCAGCTTAATAGTAATTGGAGTTCATGTTTTTTGCTAGTATTCTCTTTGATTTAATGTTCTTGTTGAATCGTTCTGAAATTTGTTTAGCTGCGAACAAGTACGAGAGAACTTACAATGAGCGAAGAACCTTTATCGTATGTACGACAGTTATCACAGCAGTTTTTGGACGTAATATCAGACGTTGTAAAAGAATTCTCCATGCAGCCAGAACACTTTTCCCTCATATTACATTGGTGTTCGGGGGAATTAAGTATTTTATTATCTTTAATACGAAGGCATGTTATTGAGGTATGTGGTCAAAAATCAATTTCAATATTTCCGAGACATATCTGCGTAGTCTGCCAAAATTATTAAAGTTCTTTTGTAAAGTTGACTGACGATGTCAGAAATAACTTGTTAATACTTTATAGGTAGCTCCTACAATTGCAGTACTTGCGCATACTTGGCGTATACTGATGACACATTGTAATAGTTTAACTGCAGTGGGCGTTGATTTGACTTTCGAAGTGCATCGATTACTTGCACCATCACTTAAAATTGCAATAAAAACAAATTTTACAAATATTATCGAGTCTATTCGGCTGCGAATTTCAGTGAGTTCTAAAAACCTGCGAAACTTTTCATTTTCTCTCTATTTTATTAGCTATAAATTTTCGTGTGTTCTCTATTTTTATGTTATTTTTGAATTTTGAATAAATACAATTCATGATTTCATCATTTTTTAATGGAAGTACCAAATCTAACCTTTGTACGAAGTTATTTTGTACTTGTAAGCAGTTATATCCGAATTTGCAAACTTCTTTTTAATGCTCAAATACTTGCAGTTTAAGTAGTTATTGATTTCGGATTTGACAGAAAAATTAAATTACTTGTATATTTGGTAAAGCCGATATATTCCTGTCATTTCCGCATGCAGGAAGAACGTTGGAGAGCATATAACATAGAAAGTGAATCAAATGTAAATCGTTTTGTGGAGGAAATGTCTGACATGGGACTTGCCGTCGATTGGGCTTTGTCTACAACTCAACGTTCATCAATTAACATTACTCAAAATGCCTGTCATTTTTCACGTGTTGCTTATTCTCTAGCTCGTGATCTTGCTATGCTGAGGTAATTTATTTGCATATGAAGTTTTGCTTGTGATGTGGAAACTTGAAGTAATTGATTTGTTGTGTTGATAAATATTTTTAACGCAGAATTATGCTGGATGCGCCAATTTTTTCTGATAGAATTATCAGTTTTAGGTCTTCTCATTTGCGTTGTCTCACAGATACATTCATAATACAGCTCTGGACTGAATATTTAAAACACTTAGAAAATGCTCCGCAATCTTCTATTCAACAATATACTTCTATGTTTGTTATTTCCCAGGCAAGCTGTTGATTTTAACTTAGATTAATTTATTTATCTCTTTTTTTTCGAATGCATGATATTATTTATGATCAAAAATACATGGAACAGTTCTTTAACTTTTTATTTATTCGCAAAATGTAAATGGTATTCATTCAGTAACAGAAAGATCGCTGTATTGCTAGTAAACTTAATATTAGCAAGCCACTTTTTGTCTTAAATTGGGTTTATTTATCAATTTTTGCAAACTTTAAAAAAGCTTGGAAATGAGGAGGATCAATTTAACATTTATTGCTTATTGTTTTGTCATCAGCATTGTATCTTGAATAATGTCTTTCCTTTAAATATGTGTAAGTTTTATAGCTGTTACCTCTTTGTGATACTATTTACAATGGATCAGCAACAGGAATTTTGTTCGAGCTTTTGGAAACAAAGTTCGAAAGTTTGTTACAGTATCGAAGTGATGAAAATAGTCATACGAATTCTAGTGACGAAGAAGTAGCTCATGTGTAGAATCATTTTATTTGTTTGCGTTAAAAGATTTCTCTTGCTTGCTCATGTGTATTAGGTTTCTAGATCTAGTGCTGTTAGTTTATAACAAGATTTTTTACGCCTCATAAGGATATAGTTGTTTGCTGCTAGGTACTAATTCTAATTAGTTTAAGGAATAATAATTTAGAATAACTATGCGAAAAATTTTTTCAATGTGCTCGAGGAATACTTGGTTTCTTGATCATCATGCATCGTTTTACGGTACTTCTGGTGTAATTAATTAGATATGCTCTTTTAAAATCAGTAAAACATCATGAAAAATATACATTGCATTATGTTCGTCATTATGTTTCAATCTCGGAGAGTACTTTTTTTATCATCACTGATTTACAATGATTATTCTAGAGGGGTGAATCCATGTTATGATTGGGCTTCCATTTTTTATTTTAATAGAATATATGTTCTAAAAATATTTTTCTCGCATAGTATGAGATATTATTATTACTAGTGTACAGTATTAAAATTATCTTGCCATAGTTCCAAATACTTACGTTAATTTTTATGAAGTTACTAATTCCTGAATGTTATTATGACATTTTGTTTTGAACGTTGTGTCCATTACATCATTGTGAGAGATTCATATTGCAATCTCTACTAAATTTGTTCTAAGATTCAGTGATCTGTAAACATGCAGTAGCAAATTTAGGTTCTTGGAGAATAGACGGGTTTATCGATTCTTGTTAAATTGACTATGAAGTACCATTCATATTGCACTGGTGATTCATGATTTAGCTGCTTTTAATAGTTCACTAACAAATATTATTTACGGAAATGAGCTTAAGTTTTGCTTATAATTTTGTATTTTCGATTAGAATGTTAATAACGATAGGTTATAATTTGTGTGACCTCATTGTGCATTAAGTTTTGTTTCGGGGATTATACATTCCAAGTTTATCACTTGATTTCATATTTTTTGTATCATAAGAATGATACATTGTAAATTAAGTGCTTGTTGGTTCATTCGTTCATTTTTAGAAAAATAAGGTCAAGGTTCAGTTAGTGGTCAAAGATGTGATTTTATTTCTTTTAGAATTTTGAGTGATATTTTTGGTTTAGTTTAGTCATCAACAGTGTTTTTCATACATTTTGTTACATTTAAGTGTACAGTCCATAAGTTCTCCACTTGGATATTCCACACCGATACTTTGCTATGAATATATGATGAAGAGATAGTCGATAATATTTACTGTTTAGAAGTGAACAAATTATAGCTGCACAGGAATGAGTTCACACCTATTTCAGTAGTGTGTGTACTGATAGTTTGCATAGGAACAAACAATTCATGCATTCAACCGTGACTGTAGCGAGGAATCTGGTGGAAAGAGTGCGTTCTCGTTTAAGTGGAAATGGTATTGCCATTGGTGGTCATAGTTCATTTGGTTCAGGAGTGAACATCACCAACGATTGTAGTATTTCGTCCAGGAATAGTTCTGTGGGTTACACTGAATTGATGGGAGGTTCAGTACCTTGCCCAAGTTGCAAGGGCTCAGGACGGATTCCTAAAGGTTACTTATTAATTGCTGTAGTATTTAAACTTTGCATTTTCATTGATTTTCTATACTAGGATATCGCTGACAAAAAAGTGATCTATGCTCGTTTTCAACGATATGTGTCTTTTTTTTCATCAAACAGTTGTAATCGAAAAGTTTATTTTCTTCTCTTACATTTTAGAATTAGAAGAGACATTGGTAGCTTTGATTCCTGTCAATGATGAGCGCTTGAAACCGAAAAGAACGTAATGTTTACATTACACGTTTAACTTTTGTAATTAATTTTTCATAAAAAACAAGAGTAATTCATTACAGTTTCATAAATATATCATTTTAATGTATACCATTCGTTATTTAATTTTTGTTTATTGAAGTCATATACTACGAAAAAACCTTATTTTTAGTTGGCTTTATGTTGTCTCTGTCGTTCTTGGCTGTTTATCACTGGCCGGTGTTGTGATTTTCTTATTAGTACCTCGTGCGGTCTATTTAACAAGCATTAGGCCACCAGTTGAAATTATAAAAGTATACGATCATGACGAAAGCCACATCAGTTTTTACTTTATGGTGACTTCTAACTTTGTTTTTATAACTTGTTTACTGCAAAAGGATTTTTACTTTAAGTGACCTGCATATATAATATATATGTAGGTTATCCTTCTTTTCTTCATTATTGATTCTGCGCTAAATCGTATATCTCGCATTCTTGCTGCACCCGCTCCGCGCTCAGTTTTCTGTGTTAATCTCCGCTACTTTGTTTTCGTCGAATCCATGGCATAAACCATAATTTTTGTAGAGTCCCAAAATGATGGCATCGTAGGACTTCTAATGTAATCGTGACATAACATTTTTTTGCGCTGCGTTGCTAGATGGTCATCATCTTCACACGTTCGCTACAATGTAGGCACACACTTTTCTCAGCCCCAAACACATTTCTGTCTTGGAGGTGACAGTATCGCGCTTCATCCTGTGGGATGATATTTCCAAATCGTAATCACATTGATGAATTTTACATTGAACGTAGCTCATTTCTGCGCATCTTGTATAGCTTTGTATGGCGGGTTTTATTTTTTTTTTTGTTCTACAAGAATGCTTTCTGAACTGCTAATACTTTTTCGACAGTTAGGTTTTCTACGATGTTGTGCTTGGTCTGGAAGTAGAGCACAATATCTGTCAAGTACGTTTTTTGAGCCATTTTCTGTTTTAAAATCGCCGCTCTCCTGGTATATATGAGCGCGATTTTGACAGATACCTTATGAAGCTGCAGAGAAATAAGCTCACTTCTTTGTTCAACTCGGTGAAGCCCACGTTCCTTGGCAGATACAGTCTCTCTAAACATGCAGGTTGACTATGAATTCCGTGCCTGTTTAGAAATTGTCTGATATCAGGATCAGTTGCTTGAAAATCGTCTGGTTCCTTGACAAAGTTTTTGCAGTTTAGTACAGTTTTTTTGCTATTCTCTGCTCGCACTTTATTGTAGCTTTCTTGGGTCGGAGTGCTAGCTTGTCTTCCATTATTCCAAGGTATTTATATCCTTTAACTCCTTCTAGGAGCACCGTCTTATCGACGCATTCCTCATTGTTCATGACTAACTTTAGTGGATTTAGCTCTAAACGTACTATTTCAAAGAACCTCTGGACTTCGTCGGCCATAGCTTCCTTGATATCCTCGTTGGTGGCAACGGGTTTGAGATCATCCAAAAATAGTCAGTGGTTCGTTACATGCATTCCTTGATCGGTGAGGACCTGCACCTTGGGGTATCTGATATTGAACCTGTGGCTTAACGGGTCGATACATAAAACGAACAACAGCGGAGAAAGGCTGTCACCTGAAGGATTTCCCGCTGTATTTTTTTCACGATTATGGTTTCTCCATTGCTTTTCAATGTAATTTCGAGATAAGAAATTATTGACTCCATCAGGGCTCGCCGCTTTTCAGTTGGGCAAACAGGATACTATCTTCCTCAAATCCGGCTTCAGTTGGGAAATTTCATGCACTTCATAATCTGGAACGAATTTTTCCAAATGTTCGTTGTGCAATCACTTTCTCCCATTTTCGAATTCGACATCGTGGCCCGAAACTCTCTAATTTCTTCTGTCTCTACATTTTCAGCTTCTTATAGCTGCTAAAATTAATTGTAGTGTTAATTTAAAGTTGTAAGGTAACTTTTTAGGTAATATTTTTGGTATAAAATTTTGTCATCAGAAAAAATTTACATTTTTTATGCCTCCAAATATTATCATTATTATGTATCATTGATGTATTTTGTAGAACGAATGCAACATATCTAATGCTAATTACTATACTGTAAGAGTGGTGAATTCATCAGCCACAATTTTATCGAAATTTCAACCTTGGTCAACAGATGTTATCGGTTTCGGAGGCAATGCAACAACTGTATTAGTTGGACCGAGAACCAGTAGAGGGCATATTTTGCAATTTAACAATACAGTAACGTTGAAAGGTGGCGTCGCGTGAGTTTTTTTAAAAGATGTGATTAAAGTTTGATAAGTCTCTTATGTAATGAGAAGTAAATGAAAGAAAGGTAAATTCTCTTCCACAAAGTGTTTCAGATTTGTTGTTTTCTTCATTGTTTCTGTATTATTTACAGGGAGTACTGCCAAGCACCATTTTCGAGGTTAACTTCTTTATATGTAAACATGCAGTTTGACATATCAGTTACTCTTGAATATTTAAATCATCATGAGCAAACTACCTTATCCGTGGTTCAGCAGGTTTGCTGCGTGCCGTCAGGCAATTGTACTGCTAATGAATGGTGAAATATGTTTTTAGTATTATTGACAGCTTTGGTTGACCAATGCAACATTATCTTTGTTGTCATGAACAGATCTGATTTGCAAATTTGTGGCGATTTATTGTATTTTTGATTTTTGTAATGTTTATGTTGGGAATTTTACAGGAGATATTCCCATAGAGGAAAAAGTTTAGCCGCGCTTTTATCATTTTAATTAAATTTTCACTTTTGGTAAAGGAAAACATATTGTGCATTTACATTTTGGGTAATGTCTGCAAAAAAACTGAAAGTAACGGAATACACCTGCGATACTAATAAAATTGATACTGCACTGTACGTTTTCATTTTGTACTCAGCTTTATAGTTTCAGTTAGTTTCTGTTTGATTAGTTCCATTTATTTTTAAAGACATTTGTGTACAGTTAGATTGTATATATACTGTAAAGGTATTCATTTGAGATAAATTGCGTACACGGCCGCTTCTAAGTTTTTTTCTTTTTCAGATTATGTGAACAGGAAAGCAAAAGAATTTCTGTGATTTTTCATCATCATAGAGATCTAACAGTTTGGTTTCATTTCATTTAATTTTTAAAAAAAATCTGAAAAAACCAATGTGTATGTTGAAGATCAACATTCTTTACTTTTCATTTACCCACTTTGTAGATAAAAATTTTACTTGTTTGCAAGCTATACATTTCAAACACAAATGTCGCGAACTCGTCGCCACACTTCTCATGTAATTTGATAACCTCCTCTACGTATCTATTTTTGTTCAGATCTAACGTCTTGTTTTTTTCTAGGTCGCTAGTGGTCACAGTTCATAGTACTAACAGATTTTATTTTGTTCTACTGTATAAAATATCCGAACAATCTCAAATTTATGTGGGTGTATTTATTAAAATCTTTTGATTGAAAAACACATCAGGAAAACAAATAACATTATTAAAGAAAGACTTCTGACATTTTCCATCTGCATGCATACAAAATTCGAAAAATCAGTGCACTCAACAACACGCGTCATTAATATATCAAACAATATCGTAATAACATTAGCAATAAGAAACTGCCAAGAGACAAAACTGCAATAAACAATCGTAAGGATCAAAGTAGGAACACTGATTTTCAAGACAACTGTGCTAAAATTCTGCAGCATAAGTAATATTAATATTGATAATAATGGCAAAATAATTTTTATAATAATCACGAGCGTTGTCGCAAATTTTATTCGCTCTCAACTAACATAAACATGAATATAAAGTGTAAATATATGAAATGTGCACAACATACTACAAGTAATTGAACATTGGAAAGAAATGCATGCTTCAATATACAGAATGGAAAAAGAAATTAAATAGAGGGTACACTAACTGGAAAACTGGTTCATTTAATGACTAAGCAAAAGAACGAGATCGAGAAGGACAATGGTACGTACGTATGCACGAAGACCAGCCCACCACGTGCTCTACAATAATCTACTTTTTTATTGCTGCTGGCTGTCTACTTTTACCACTAATTACATTTCGAATTCTTCACTGCTTCTTCTACTGATTATATTAGTTTTGCGTAGTTCATGCATTTTGTCAGTACTTTTTTGAACTGTCAATGCAAACTAGAAGTGAAATTGCAACTCTTACAAATCTGCTGGGCCTTACATACGCTTTCTCGATGATGGACTAACAAGAAGAAAAAAGGGAGACCTTATTAAGGCATATAAGTTCAAATTTGAGATGATACATGGCACCAAACTATGAGACAAAAATTTTTGAAACTTTAATAAGCGCTTCAGAAAAAACCTTCAAAAAATTCAATAAGTTTTGAAAATACTGCAGATCCATTTTTCCTAATACTTATAATATTAAATTTCCCTTTCATCAACACAGTATTTAAGATGGAAAATAGATAACAAAGCTTCAAAAATTAAAAAAATATGTCCCAGTTATGCAAACGATTCATAACATGTAAACATTCCAAAGTACAAAGGGTAGAGTGAATGGTCTCCAAGTCATGTAACTACAATCGCTAACAAGGCATACGCAGAAAAAACAGCCGTAATTGGTAAAACAAGCAAGCAGGAAATCAAACCTAATTTAAAAGTTGAGCGTGAACAGAATCCGCACGTGCAACGAAGGTTTCGACGAAAACATCATATGACATTTTGTTTCGCACAGCAATCACAGATAAATAAATTAGAAGAAAGTTGCTGAATCCATCATCATGTACATAAAAACGTCAAGATGTTTTTGGCTGGAAAAGTTATTCAATTTATTCATAATTTGTGAATTCAAAACTTGATGCATTCTTTCTGAGGCCGTTATAAAATGACTAAAAATGGAATTATTTACAATGCAAGATTTAAATTTAAATTAATTGTTATTTTATAAATTACAGCCTTTCTCCTACGCATTCAACTTTTATTCATTCAACTATGATTCCATATTCAACTTCACACAAATGAACTGAAACAAATTACTCTTAGATTTAATCAGAGATAACTGAATTTATAGCATGTGCCTCTTTCTACTGAAAATAAATTTCAAAAAACTGTACTGCGTTGGTCAAAGTAACCTTCTAGACTTTTTCTCCTTAGCTTTTCACTGAATTGCAGCAATCTAACAGTGATCGAAATAAACCATTCTCATTCAAATTGCTTTACTTATCAACCCAAATTTCTAAATTACTACTAGAGGTTAATATTTTGGATGGTAGGGTGAGGTGATATAGTACAGGTGACCAGGATATCTAAAACAACTTTTATCAGTAGCACAACTACAGTGTTTGAGGTTTTCGTTCAAAACTATCTGTGGAACAAGAATAAATTTACCTGTTGTTTCAACATGTGTTGCTGACGAGCCACTGTAGCTGAAAAGTTATTCTGAGCATTTTGTACATTGATGTTTGAGAAAGCCGGCTGTGTTGGAGTATTTCCACTGCATCCAATGACAATACTTCCAGGACCACCTACACGTCTTATGTAGGAGGTTTGATAAGATGCTTAAATTCTTAAATTGTTAGAAATTCGAAATTTCGAGATAACACGGTATTTTTATTCTCTTTCACAGATAATCAGTCACTATCAGTGAAAAGCGATAAAAACCTAAAGTTACTCTGAAGAAAAAATAGGAGCGAAAGTGGAAACTTTTTAAATATCAGATTGTCCAGCTATTAAATAACAGCGCTCAACTATACTTCAAATGAAATCATTTTTAAATCTGTTGCATACAAATGCAAAAAATCGAAAATATCAGATATGACAACAATTTGGAGAAAAAAATAATTACTCAAAGGCAATAATTACATTGGGATGCTCCAAATGTTGGGACAGTAATTTCACCTTCATCATCATGAGCCAATGCTTCCAGAGACAAATCCGCTTTACGGCGATTACGCCGAACAGTTCCTAAAGCTTTCGGTGATGAACGTTGGGAAGTTTGTCCACCCGAAAGTGTTGTTACCGCTGAAATCGATCCACTTGTTAGCCTTCGGTCCTCATCATTTGATAACGGAAGTATCCCGTTGCAAGACTGCGCGAACACGCGCTCCTTAATATTAATGTCCAGTTTCAAAAAGAAAGAAGTATGCAACAAAAATACGTTTTAACCAAATCTTTTTACCTTTTTTTGATATAAACAAAAGAATAAAGTCAACTAGGTGAGGAAATTGTTTGCTTTTTATTCTAATCAAATACCGAGGATTGCACAAGCTCCTGCATTTTTTGAAAAAAGAGAAAAAAAGTGAGTCAAATATACTAACTTTCTTAACAAAGTGTTCATGCAGCAACATATGAGAAAGAAAATTGCAATTAATTAAACAATGTGTAAACCAAATAATGACTCATGTTCTCATAAACTGAAAGACTGAATGAAACTCACCTACTCCATGAAAACTCAACTAAAAATAAAAATATTTTAGAAAAAGCTAGGCTATACTTTTGATACATTTACGGATTCATGTCCATTGCTTAAATGACGCTGCTCAACTGCACTATTTGGTCGCTGATTTAAAATTCTGTCACCAATTCTTTGATCCTCCTGTTGTTTATTACGTAAACCATGGGCATCTATTTCGCTTGCTACACCTGCAATAACAAGTATAAAGAAAGCTATCATCAATCACCTTTTGAAACTTCGAAACAATATGGAAATCTCAAAAACTTGGAGCTAGAAAAGACAACGAAATACTTTTAATCCATAGTTTTATATATACTTCTGACAAAAAAACGCGTCAGACTCTAAGCAACCATAAAATATGATTTAAATAATTCATATCAAAAGCTTATCTAATTATTCAACATTTAATGAACAATTAAGGACAAGAACTGTTACATGAAATTCAAAATTTATTTTGAATATCTATAAATAAGAACTCCTTTTTAGTTAAATGGGCAGTAGAATTACCATAAGTAACAGTAAGAAGGTTCTCACGACCAACAGAAATTAATTGCGGAGGAGACATTGCCATTTTATTTGAAGATAATACAGTTATCTGCCCATTATGAGAACCAGAACCCATTCCTGTTCCATCTGTCATACTTTCACCAACAATTGAAAGTTGAGAAACTAAACGGAATAGTAAAAACTAAACTTCATTCTTCTCAAAATGCATAAAAATATTTCGAATTATTTCGGGTCAAACTATGGCCTTCTTTTGGATCAGCTTTGTCTACTTGTCTTGCTATATCTTAAATTATAAAGAGGTGATTTTTAATTACTGATGATACAAAATTTATTTTCAGGTGAATACACTACAAAACCTTAAATCCAAAACAAATGAGATATGAAACCAACTTTGCTGAGAGTTGTAAAACTGTCCTAGCTGCTTGGTAGTAGTATTTACTGATCTGACACTTGCAGTAAGGTTATTATTCATTATCTTCCCTAGAAGAATAGAAATTATTTTTTGAAATCTGAATGCTTAAAACAAAGAAAAAACTATCCTTCTAAAATAGATATTTATCAGGATCACTAAAAATCAAACTGAGTGAAATCCTTATAACCATTATAGTTCCGAAAATTTATGCATTCATTTTCAAGTAATTTACAACATGAATATGAAATAGAATACCAACGTTCATTAGAACCATGTTCCATAGATGAAGTTTGTGCCATTGATATACGATTTCTGGATCCACGAGAATAATTAGATACGCTAGCTGAGGAAATGTTATCTTGATCAGAAAGCGCTCGCAGGACTACTGCATCTAATTCATAATATTGAAGTAATAAATGCAGGCCAATTGAGAAAAAATTTCGTAAAAAATTATTTAACAAATCTATATTCAGGAAAAAAAAGAAAAAAACAAGTTGCGAGAAAGAAATAACAAATCACAAGCTAAGAGCAATGAAATCATCTTTGCCTCTTTAAATAATATGTCTTGATAACCTAAGACGTGATTAGGACGAATTAACTGAAAACAGAACGAATAAAGTTCAAGAATTCTTTCAATAAGTATTACCTCACACTTCAATTATTCAATCTTTTCTCTAAGTTTTCATAAGTTATAAACGTTGACTCCATATGCTTCTAACGAAGACCTTGCTTTACAACAGTAATGATTTACAATTTACATTTATAGCAGTACATCATACAGCATAACTATATATATATGCACTGTAAAATGTAAAAGAAGAAAACTTTGCAATTCTACAGAAATTTTACCCAATTCAAACATTTCTTGTTTTTTCTATTATCAAAAACAATTAGCCAATATTAGAACTTAATGATTACCGATTGTAGAATTGATTGGGTCCTTGTCACTCTCCATTGAATCAGTGTTCGAATCGACGGTTGGTGCTCGTGGTGTTGCTTCACCATCTATAACGATAGTAAATTTCGGATTGTTTAAAAGTAACGGTCTTTCTGAATTAATATTATATAGGAAAATACATATAATAAAAACCATAGAAGAACGCTAACGAATATAAGAACTGAATATTATGAGACCTGAACGAGATGACTGTAACTCATCAGTTCTTGTACAAGCTGAATGCAACTGTTGCTGTGAATGCACAGTTGGTGGGGCACTAAGAGGTGTACGAACAGACTGATGTTGTTGTGACAGGGGTGATGGAACATACTGGGGGACTTGCTGTTGCTGCTGCGTGACTGAAATGTGTCGCTGCTGCCGTATAGCGAAATTATTGGCATCTTTTTGAGGAGAGGATTGAGAAATAAAAGAATTTGGAGAATTAGATTGTGGAGGTGGGCTCATGAATAAGCTACTCGTCCCTTGAGACGGCTGCTGTTGATGTTGTGGAGACGGATAATCCTGAGCAAGTGATTGCTGTTGTTGCGGCTGTGGTGGGCCCATTGTTCCTGGAAATCCACATTGCTGTCGTACATGCACATCGCTGCAAATCTGTCGCATGTAACCAACATTTTGTTGCAGCATTTGAGGTTGCATGTCATAACGAGTTTGAGGAGCGACCATACGACTGTAAAATTGTTGTTTTTGCTGCATCTGCTGTTGTTGTTGTTGTTGTTGCTGCTGTTGTTGTTGTTGCTGCTGCTGCTGTTGTTGCTGTTGATGTTGTTGTTGTTGTTGCTGTTGATGTTGTTGTTGCTGTTGTTGTTGCTGATGTTGTTGTTGTTGCTGTTGT